TGAATTGTTATTAGTAAATTGCAATCTTACTAATACTTTTCCTAGATAATTGCCAAATTGAATACCTTTTAAGTGCCGCATGGAATTATTGTATTTGAAAATAGTATGTGTTACTACAAAATCTTAATCAAATGCATCTCAACCATATAATAATACTGAAAATTATGTTAATACAATCAATATTGTCATTCATTTGATAGTAACTCTGGCTATAACTAAAACAGCTTTCTTGATCATTAATTTTGCGTACATTATAAGCATTCCGTAATCCTAAACGTATTACTCCTTGAGAAATACCATGCTGATATTCTTTTTAATGCACAACTCAATAATCTGCTTAACTTGTGGAGATTCTGCAACTGCATTCATTACAGAAACTGAAGATATGGTAATTTTGATAAAATACTCCTGTTGCTCATGATTATTATTTCGACATCGCTTAAATCAAGTGGAAATTTAATTATTGAGCGTCTATCATGAAAGCATTCAGTAATTTGCACTTTTCTCAGGCTATCAATGTGCTGATCCTTGAGCAGCTATCATACATTATGTTTTGTGGTTACTCCTAACGGTGAGCAAGTAAATACTTATTCAAGACACATGCTTAAATGATATGATGGATATTTCTTCTGCCCTATCTCACTGTTCAAACCATAGTTAGCATAAATGCGATGATAATTTTTTGTACTTCAAATTTAAACACTACAACAAATATGAATCACCATAAACTGGACTAAATCTTAGCATACACTTTTCGTGTGGTTTAACATCATAATTGTTAATGTACTTCAAACTCTATGCCAATCCCCGATATATTGCAATCAAAGCATCCATACTACTTTTGCGGATACTCTATCACTTCTAGTGATAGTCTCTTATTAATAAATGATACACTGATTGTTTTTCAGCAACTTAATCTTTGCTAGCTTTTTCAGATAGAATTATTATACCTTCCATTCTAATTTTATGATGCATGAAGTGCTTCTCTAAATAATTAGTTTTCAACTTTTTGTGATCAGATCTATTTCAGATTAATTCTGCTATGTCGATATTGATTTAGCAATAAAATTGCCATGATGCCAAAGGATTAGTTAGACACAAAAGAAATACTGTTTGTTCTACCTATTTCGATAAAAGTCTTCATAATACTGGTTAATTTAAAAGTTGATTTGAAGAAGACTGTGACACACAACCAATAAAGATCCCTTTAACAAACTTTTAAAATCCCAACAATATTAATACATATTTTTGGTGTTGTTACAAGTTTTGACTATGGTATGCCTACTTTCTTCACCAAAGGATCTGGCTCTTGTCCAAATTTCTGAGAGACTAATAAAGTATAAAACACTCACTATACTTTTTATTTTGAGTCGCTCTAATGGTGATATATGAAATCAGTTTGCCCACATCACTTTTGCTCGACATAATCTATAAGCAAAGTATTTATACTTTTCGTACTTGTCCAAGCAAGTTTATCAACATGTAGGATTTTTTCAAAATTCAGAATCTCATAATGGTTAGTATCAATTGTAGACCTATTATATAGTATAGAGTATAATACCGACAAAGATCGTACTTGTTCAGTTTGCAATTAATATTAATAATTTTCACTCTCTATCGTAAAAGTGTGCTAGCTATCCTTCATTACGTTTATTAAATAAAACTCGTTCTAATAAGTTGATGTCATTGCTTGCTCAAAATATAGACGTAATTTTTTCTGGCATCTTCAACTCTTTCCATGAACATGGTAGAAGTAAGTGAATATCCAAATGTGCAAGCTGTAGATCAGATGAGACAATACCAACATTTAGGATAACATTCCTACATTATGCCTCATTCAAAGGAGGTTTACGGTAAGGTATGTATGAAAGTTGTGGTAAAATGATAACCTATATGATTGTATTATAATTAGATAGATAACATTAAATAAAATCAAGCACAATTTTTGGATTTGGGATAGAAGGAGAAAAAATATAAGCGTTATTAATTTATGCCAATAAAATACATATCAAGAAGTTCTCCACGGAGTTGTGCATTAAACAAATGGAAAATGTGGAAAGGTTGTATAAATTTAATACTGAGAGATGCTCTATTCATATATAAAACATTTAATCAGTATTAAAGGCACATTTTGGATTGTAAATTACGTAATTAGTTACATTCGACAGCGTTTTGTATGGTTATAAATTTATACACACGTTATTCGGTAGAAAGCACCGATCAAATCGTTATTACCCATACTAAAGTAAATAAATGCAAGAACAGCCCAGGATGACAAAATTAATTGCAAAAAGATATTAAAGAAACACTACACTAAATTGAGAGGTGTGTATTTAAGTATAATGTTTAGGCATAAAGGTACAAATAATTATATTACTCATATTGGTTACTACCAATTGAGTATATTAATAATTCATATTTCAAACTAATGGATATTATTGATATGAATTTCTATGAGCAAGGGATTATTTCTTTCAATATATGTTGGTGAATGAAATGAAAAATATAAAGCAACAAAGTAAAACAGATAAGCCAAGGATTTTGAGATTAGTCACATTATAGCCCTTAAGTTGTGAACTTAGTTGAACATCTCATATAATACAGCTTGTGGATAATTTAAATAACTGCCTCTCTTATGCATTCTTATAAAGCATAAAGCACAAAATTATAATTTGAGAAATATTTATCGGTAGGAGCATCTTAATTACCCGAAGAAAACTAATCTTAAAAAACTTGACGAATTTAAAACAACTTAGAAAACATGATATTTTATATTCAGTATTCTCAGTTAACATAAAATTCATAAGTACATTAAAACAAGAGTTTGAAACACTAAAGTAAATGAATGAGAACATAAGGCTAGCTAGTAAATATCAATCAATTTTGGAATTTTATTTTTCTTCTATTGTTTTATTTAAAAAACTAGTAGAAAAATAAAATAAAGTAACTCACTAGCATAACATCAATATCTATAATAAAAGCAGCAACAAATATAAAGGATATATACAAGTGGAATAAGAAATTATTAAAAATATCTTAANAGTACTTGTTCAGTTTGCAATTAATATTAATAATTTTCACTCTCTATCGTAAAAGTGTGCTAGCTATCCTTCATTACGTTTATTAAATAAAACTCGTTCTAATAAGTTGATGTCATTGCTTGCTCAAAATATAGACGTAATTTTTTCTGGCATCTTCAACTCTTTCCATGAACATGGTAGAAGTAAGTGAGTATCCAAATGTGCAAGCTGTAGATCAGATGAGACAATACCAACATTTAGGATAAGATTCCTACATTATGCCTCATTCAATGGAGGTTTACGGTAAGGTATGTATGAAAGTTGTGGTAAAATGATAACCTATATGATTGTATTATAATTAGATAGATAACATTAAATAAAATCAAGCACAATTTTTGGATTTGCGATAAAAGGAGAAAAAATATAAGCGTTATTAATTTATGCCAATAAAATACATATCAAGAAGTTATCCACGGAGTTGTGCATTAAACAAATGGAAAATGTGGAAAGGTTGTATAAATATAATACTGAGAGATGCTCTATTCATATATAAAACATTTAATCAGAATTAAAGGCACATTTTGGATTGTAAATTACGTAATTAGTTACATTCGACAGCGTTTTGTATGGTTATAAATTTATACACACGTTATTCGGTAGAAAGCACGGATCAAATCGTTATTACCCATACTAAAGTAAATAAATGCAAGAGCAGCCCAGGATGATAAAATTAATTGCAAAAATATATTAAAGAAACACTACTTTAAATTGAGAGTTGTGTATTTAAGTATAATGTTTAGGCATAAAGGTACAAATAATTATATTACTCATATTGGTTACTACCAATTGAGTATATTAATAATTCATATTTCAAACTAATGGATATTATTGATATGAATTTCTATGAGCAAGGGATTATTTCTTTCAATATATGTTGGTGAATGAAATGAAAAATATAAAGCAACAAAGTAAAACAGATAAGCCAAGGATTTTGAGATTAGTCACATTATAGCCCTTAAGTTGTGAACTTAGTTGAACATCTCATATAATACAGCTTGTGGATAATTTAAATAACTGCCTCTCTTATGCATTCTTATAAAGCATAAAGCACAAAATTATAATTTGAGAAATATTTATCGGTAGGAGCATCTTAATTACCCGAAGAAAACTAATCTTAAAAAACTTGACGAATTTAAAACAACTTAGAAAACATGATATTTTATATTCAGTATTCTCAGTTAACATAAAATTCATAAGTACATTAAAACAAGAGTTTGAAACACTAAAGTAAATGAATGAGAACATAAGGCTAGCTAGTAAATATCAATCAATTTTGGAATTTTATTTTTCTTCTATTGTTTTATTTAAAAAACTAGTAGAAAAATAAAATAAAGTAACTCACTAGCATAACATCAATATCTATAATAAAAGCAGCAACAAATATAAAGGATATATACAAGTGGAATAAGAAATTATTAAAAATATCTTAAATTGCTTATAAAATTATTATCCATTTGATTATGACCTTTCGGTAGCTGTAAAGATGAGTTCGCAAAGGTATTACACATTTTATCATTGAAGAAAATACTGTGGAAATTGTACATTCGCTAGTAAAATATTATAATTATAACCTCATCACAAATTTTAGTCTGTGAGACAAATGGCTCAACCAACATCGGTCCACTTGAGTAATAGCGTAATAATTGAAGTTTCACTTTGTTTTTCTTTAAAAGGTTTTTAATTTTAGAGAGGACATGAATTGCCTGAGATGACTTTGCTATATTTAGAATTTTTGGATGTTAAAAAATTAAACATGTCCTCATATTATATATAGCTGATTAAATCTTTTGCATACTTCATACAAATGCATTGAGAAGTTTGCTTAAGGTTAACACTAAATTGTCAATATCAATTCTTTAGATTATCAATAATCCATTTGTCATCCTTTAAGGATTATAGAGTTATAAATCTTGAGAGTAGTCATATTAATTGAAAAATTTTCTCATTAAATTCTCTCCATTTTAACAGATTCTAATGCATAACTAACATTAACATAAATGATATTAATGCAAAAGTGTAAAATAATTCGAATAACCAATCTCTTCTTGCTTCTAAACAATTTATAACTAATTTTATATCCCTTCCTCCATTTAAAAATTGTTTGCTCCTATCTAAACTATTTTTGATTAACCAACAATATTAATTTCTTTATTTACAAAAGTTATCATCAATCCTCAAATGGTAGATACTAATGCCAGCCATAACATCATTTGAAACAGAAATCGAATCTAGATTTGAGCAAAAAACTTACAAACAACTATTCTATTCATTTTATCGCTTCTTAAAATATCTCTATTAATTGCTTATTGCATCATCAATTAACTTATATCTAATTTATCATCTTTATGTTCGACTAATATTTAGAATTACCTTATTTTATGAATCGCTTATAAGGATATCTTGTTCTATTTTAGTATATTGGAGTTGCGATCATCCAGTGCAATCTAAAGTTAATGGTTCAAGTCTGAATTGTTTATTTAATCATATTATTTATATAAAGGCCGATAATTACTTACATGTAAGCCAATATTTATGTTGCCCTTTTTTACGTATGAGCGTTAAAATGGATATCAATTTTGTAGTTTAACACCTTACGCATCCTCTCTTTAATATATACAAATAGTCTGCTTGGCTTGCCACCTGGAATTTACAAATCTGGCATAACAGCTTGGAACGAATAAATTAGTGTGATACTTACTTGTAATATATTAATGTTGTTAAATATTTAATTTAATAATCTATTTTTCATTGATATTTATTATAATCAGACTTATTGTGTAGCTTGTAATGATACTAAATAAATAGTCAATAGGTTGATATTTTTTAGATACTGAATTTATCTAATGTATTTGTAATGCTGATTAGATGATATTATAATTAATGATGTGATTGTTAAGGAAAATAATGTTGAACTTAAAGATTTTTTTTTGAATTTATTGAATTATTGTGAGCTATAATTTATGGACATATAGATGAAAATCCTCCACGAAAAGTATTCAAGTGTGCTTCTAAAATTAAAACAGCAATTGTCAATATTAGTAATGTTTTTAATTTGTACGTAAAATTTATGTATTAGTTATTCTGACTTCTGACTAACAACTAAATAGAATTTAAAGAATAAAAATAATTAGTGTGCTTAACATTTTAATGAAAGTAAAGATTACAACAACAAAAAATTGCTCTGAGTTCATTTAATTTAATACTTAGTTTTCATAGATCATATTTTATGAGGAGTACAAACAAGGAATGTGAATTATTAAGTAGGGTGTAGTGAAATAGGATGAATTAAATTTAAATTACTGTTTTTAAAGACAATGAAGAGACTTAACAATTCTATTTTTTGTAATCATTTAAAGGTGAGAATTTCGTAGAATGAGGGAAACTTGGTTCGATAATAAATCTGACTATTAATATATTTATTATATTATAGATATTTCTTATCAATCATTTTATAACAAAACATATATTTTTAGTAAACGTTGTCAGAATAGAGATTGAATATCTGCTTGGAATTATGTAATTATAGCCGTTATTAATAGAGACAATATCGCTAACTATTCAATTCAAAGTTAAAGCAAATTAAAAGCCATTATCAACTAAGGAATAAAATAAATCCTATTTAAATACAAATTGATTCTTTAACAAGAGTCTAACAATTTAAACACCAGTAATATCTTTTTTGTTGCTGATTTTGATAAAATGGCTCATTACTTTTCAATAGCTACAACTTCCGGACCCTATTTAGAAATATTATTTATTGGAGGATAAAGACCTAAACAAGATGAACAGAAAAGGACCTTATGTATAGAAGTTCCATGTCTTGTTGCAAGGACAAGAAAGAAAAATGATATGGAATTAAGCAAGTCTTGAAAAATGAAGGATGTGGGAATTAAATAAGAGATCAATGGCAAGCGGATCTAATACTCATAATAGTAGTACAAAAAACAGAATAACCTTCCAACACAAGAACCATATAATGATAGGTGTAGCTGGTCACAAAAGTATTTCAATTTGTAATTGACGATATGGATATACTTCATCATGTTCTTCTACACAAAACACAAATAGACTATCTGGAAGCATATTATTAGGAGTAAGATAAATCCAATAATCAACTCTTGACTTAGAATTGGTCGAAGTATGTAAGCATATAAGAGGAAGAAGGAAACTCATTCATCTGGTAAATTGAGATTTTTATAAACTTAAAAGAAATACTAGGAAATTGACTATGCAGTAGAAAAGATAAAGTTGTTTTGGAAATCTAGCTTAACATAATTAAAAATATGAAATCTAATATACTCCCGCGGATGATAATTTCGAACATCTAGCGGATGAAGTTAAAGGGCTACATCAATGGCGGACCTCCTTTATGTTATTTCTGAAATCCAAGAATTCATTTAGGAAAAGGGACTCTTCATGTCATTGCAGCTATAATATTGGATAATAAAAGGAGCCTTTAGATATTACAAAAAATTAGAAAACTTAGAAAGTGAATGGTATGTATTAGTAACCCACTAGAATTAAATGATGAGACAAGAGGGTACAATCCCCCCCATATGTATAAGAATATTTCAATCAATTTGACATATTCAAACACTCCTGCTCATCGAGTATGGGCCTCGAACTCCCCTAGGGCTTTCTATAACGATACATGCATTCAACATACATATTATTATTATTTTTGAGATAGGAAATGAAAAATATTAATTTCTAATTGTTCTAGAGCTCTTCTTTTCTCTATTACTCCATTATCGGAACTTACAAAGTAGAATGGCTGAGAATACTAAAATTAAGGCTGATACCTTGAACTCTATTTTAATCTTGGAGATTAGCCAAAATCGGAGATATCCAATTGCTCGAGAAAGTATTATTTGGTAATTAGCAATAATATGAGATATCCTTTATTTATTCATGCTAAAGCCTATTTTTTAAACAGGATTTTAAATTACTATCTCATCTCTAATTTAAGAAATTAATTAAGGCAATTCAAATCTGGATAAAGTTTTGCTTAGTAATTCACCAAAGATGATAACATTCTAATCAATAAAAAAATTAATGATTATCCTTCAAATATTCATAAAATCTTAAGATTTTAGATTTTATGTTAATGTAAGTATAAATACGATCTGAATAAAATAATGAATACCTATATTGAAGACTTAAGTATATAACATTAATAACACAATTATGGGATTACAATTCAATTGAAGGTTTTTAAAATGCAAAAATTGTTAAATAAAGTATTTATTATGAGAAATATTTGTACTTTATTGCCAGGAAAACTGTTAGATTGAGAGTTAAATTAAGATAAATTTACTGAGGTGGTTATTTAATTATCTTTGAAACAAATTAGGTTATGATTTCTAATGTTCATATTATATCACGATTATATTTGCTTATTGCGATAAATTCAAAATTTTGCGAATTGAGTTATCTGACCTTTTGTAAATTGTTTTCTATTTCTTAGTCTCTTCTTAATAAGAGTTAGCTCATAAAAGATAATCAATAGATTTTTCAATAAAGTAATTTAATTAACTCGACGAAAATATTAATTTTTGTGCAAATGGAGTAAAGTAAGAAATGAATTTCCTAACCATTTTCAATCAAGACTCTTAATAAATCATCTACTATTTGAGAGATAAGGTCAAGCAGAAATACTCGAGCTTGACTTTTCCTAAAAGTTTAAATATTATTATTTGAATTTTTTGAAACATAAATCTTATAATATGATTTTAAACAATGATATTTACTTTTATTAGTCAACAATGAAAGACTGATTTGCTTTACGAAATGCTTTCTAATTAATATAGTTTTGCCTTTAAAATTAATTCTGCAATATATCTCTTTAAAAGGACTTCTTAATAGAAATTTTTTAATGTATTTAATGAATAAAGTAATTTATTCGAGGGAACAAATAAAATTGGAATTTCTTTTATAATTTGTAATTATATATTAACAATGCTTTTTACCATGAATTGCCTTAACAGGTTGAACATTCAAAGAAGATTTTTAAACTTATAAAATGTCCTAAAAAATTAGCGGGATATTTTTAATCAAAATTAATGAATAATGCAGTCTAGTCTTAGCAAAAATTTCTCACCTAAGTTTCTATTGAGCCTAAGATTTTCTCTATCTATCAATCCAACTTCCCAATTTTTCTTAATGTGCTGGAGTGTGATCTGTTTTCCATGTGTTCACATTTACCCATCTAGATTTAACATATCAAAGAAATAATATCCATAAATTCTCCTAATTTTTCTATATCCTTCTTCCATTTTCTCCACTTATTCCTCATTCAATAATTTTTTATAAATCGAATATTATCGAGTACTTCCTCAGCATTCACCTAGTTCTTGTCAATGAATTCTTAGTATAATCGATCATATCCTTCCATATGATCTTAGATTCTTTCTGATTGTTTCCCAAGATAACCTTTTGAATCTTCTCGAACCTAATGTTCAACTTCCTACAATCTCATTGATTATCTTCTTAAGAATGCTCTTTTTTAGTCTTAAGACTCTTATTCTCTTCTGAAAATATTTTCTCTTAATAATTTGCCATTACTGAATGGTTGCTTATTAACAGGTTATAAAACTTAATTATTAGTAGCGCAAATAAGATCCAAATTTGAGTGAGTACTATGACTGGTAAGATCTTTCTAATCAATGCTAACTAGGACACTATTTATATTATCATTCTCTTTTTATTTGTGTATGTTGTTTCAGTCTTACTCTTTTTCCAATCTTAATTCCAAAATATTTGAATCTCTCAACAAGGTTTATACCTTTAGGATTGTGTCTATTTGCGAAATACTTATTCTTTCTATAGTTGACGACGAGTCCAAGTATTTGAGCTATTTGAATGAAGATTCTTTTGCTCGTCAATATACATTCTATATTAGAAATCATCGCGACGTTGTCAGTACATCTTAGAATCAGTACTTCTTCCAATAATCTTCTTATCATTTTCATTTGTTGGGTCATTTTTACACTTCCTTCTTAATTTCCTCATTTTGTCACGTTAATAAAGTTGTTAAGAAGATTTTGAATAGATAAGGCCTATGGGTTGAGTCTTGTTATACTCCATTCTTGATCTAACCTTTTTCTAATTAATTGGATCAAAGATGTATAAGTCATCGTAGACATCGAACAGAAAGTCCCAACTATTCACTAAGATTTGTCTGTCAATTGGCATGTAGTACAGAAATTTCAATCAATATCTCAATATAGTTATAGGCATCTGTTAAGTCAAAAATTTTGCATTTTTCTTATTTCCTTTCTTTCTAAGTCTTAAAAAATTCTCCCAATAATAACTTAAGTTCCTAGCCTATTAGCAAAACCTACTCTCAATTGATATTATTGCTAGTTAATTCTTTCTAAATACCATTTATTTAGGTTGTTTAATTGGATTAATATTTTTGCTAGGCATTATTGATTCTCATTCCATTTCACAAATGCTGTTGTTTGATGAATAAAAGTCATAAAATATTGTTTGAAGTTCAAAGTATGAAATTTCCGAAATTCCATTCTAATAGATTTAGACTGATGAAAAATTGATAGAAATGCAAAGGCCTGATAACTTATACTGCTTCAAATAATTGCAATGTTTTTTCCAGGCTCAATAAATTCTTAAATGAAACATTAAATACATCCCGCTCATCCTCATATTAATGAATTAAACTGAAATCTAAATCTTAATGCGAGTTTGATAAAGATATACCGTTGTACCACTTATGGGATTCAAAATATCTCAGCATGACAGTTCTGTAAGAAAATTTTGTCAAATGGAGTGATGAGCTGGGCCTCTATGTATATCGATAAAGCGAGTGTGGGATTGCAAATAGGAAATCTGTCCACACAAGTTAATGATTCAATCATTTAAATATGAATAATAATTCATTAAATTCATTACATTGTCAAATAATTAATTTCTAATCAACTTAAGTATGTTTATTGAATTTGAAAAATTCGAAAGATAAGTTGTATTTTAATAATAATATAAGTGAATATTTCTTATGGATAGAGAATTAACTTTTTCCAGAAAGCTTTTAAAAGATCACAACTTTATCATTAATATGATATTCATGCAGTTATATGCACTTGATCTTCTTAAGCTCCTCGTTCCCAGAACTTAAATTACATAAAATAAGATATAAATACTAGAACACATTCAAGGATTAGAAAGAAAAGAGTAGAAATATAGAGAGTATAATCTAAGGAGGGAATTTAAAAATAATATATATTAGTCATCATAATTTAGAACAGATGATGAATTTAATTAATGGCTAAACTTTACTTTCCTGTTTGTTTTGCTACAATAAATAACTATGGTATTTAAAATAAATTTTTAATTCATAAAATTTAAATTATCTTATAAGATACTCGATATGCTAAAGTATTAATCTAATACTCGAATTCAAAAGTTTTCTTAATCTATTTAATTTGATTTATCCCTAGTAATCAAACCATTATCAATCATAATCATTACTCCAAAAATATATGCTCATAATGAAATCAATGCATTATCTATCATGCATACTCAAAATTCAAACTGTTCAACTTTTGATTTAAGACCTTATCAAGACAGAAAAAATCCAATAAATAATTTAATACTTATCTACTTCAAGATATTATTGTATTAATAAATAATATAATAGAAAAACACATCATCTTATTACTTATTTCTCTTTAATTGATATTTTAAAATTTGTTTGAAATATTGTACAAATTATTATTAAGTTATACTCAAAATAAATATGTTTCATCTTCTGTTACTCTTTTAAATTGCTGAATTATATATCAGATGCTAAATGCAATAACTTTATGAAAATTTCAACTCACAATATATAACCAATTTGGATGATTGGAAATGCAAAAATTCATTTAAACCATAGGTTTATAAATGTAAAAGCGGAATGGATTTGATAAGGGTTGATAAACTTTGTGAGAAAATTACTTCTGAAATTTAACACATTTTACCTCATTATTAAGTCTAAATATATATAGATGTATATTGTTATGGAGGATTAGATCCTGATGACTATTTAGCTATCACAATAGATGCATAAAATATTTGGCAGACAGAAACTTCTTATCTTCCAAAGAATTAGTAACCATTGGGAATATCTCATTAATGCAAAGATTTTGCACATGATAAAAATTATTAAATACGCAAAACTGTTTATAAGGAGATCTCCCATTCTTCAGAGATTCTTAAAATAGAACTATAGAGCACCATATCTGGGGAATTCTAAGATGAATCATATTTATTTAGAAATTTATAAATCTTATATAAAGAATGCTATAAGACATGTAAAACTTGTGTGCAGGAATCAAAAGATAGATGCTCTTTATGTTATGATAACATACATCTAATTTCTGGAACTTGTATGTCTTGTTAAGACTAGATTAATTTGACATTTCTGTAAGTCTCAAAAGGATGTGTTATTCAATGTCCAGATGAGCATGATTATGACTTAGATAAAGTGTGTTATAAAAATGAAAGTACTATTATTTTAATTTTGTAGAATTGAAATCTTATGTAGATTCAGATTTAATTAAAAGTTAAGAAGGATACAAGATATCCGGTAATTTAGATACGTCTGCTATATTATTAAGAATAACTATTACAATAGAAATAATGAATACCAATTTTTTTAATGTTTTACTTAATGGAGTGCAAATAGCTTCGATTAGTAGATACAGAATAAGATAAGAACCAGGATCTAAATCAAATTACTTAAGCAGGATTAATAATGAAATTATGGTTGAAATTAACAAACCAATTAGTGTCAATAATTTTAATATTGAAATTGTGAAATTCCAGCATTTATCAAAAATTCCAACATTTAAGGTATAATATTTAGTTTGTGCCTTGAAGTGCTAAGTGTGTAAAAATAACAAAACTTGTAAAGTCTGTAAGGATAATTATTACTTTTATAATGGATTATGTTTTACTAGTTGCCCAGATTACACCGTATCGTAAGACAAACTTTGTGTTATTCCTAATGAAATAGTGGACTAGATTGAAGATAAACAAGAAATATTTTTAGTGAAAGAATTTTATGATCTATCAACTAGTAAAAAAAGAATAGATGAATTATTTACATTAGTTAGCCTTGAGAGTAGTGCTATTAAGTAATATAATTTTTAGAAAGGAGATGATATTTACTTCTCATATTTTCAAAATAGAAGAATATTTGGAGGACCTTATGTTTGGGTGAATGCTTAGTTTAAGTTCCATTTAGATCTTGAGAACATATAGTAAACTGTTTATGTTAAATTTCAACTAATTCTAGGTGATTAATACTTGTCTAGAAGTTAATTTCATTACACAATTAACTCAAAACCAAAGGTAACATTGAGGATTAACAATAATTAAAATTTGAAAGAAGATCAAAATTGGGATGATCAGTATGTTACCGATATAATTTCTGTGAGAGAAAAAGTAGAGTATTCAGATGGAGATATTAAACAATTAAACATAATTTTCCATTGTGACAATAATTTTAATAATGCTAATTCAACATTTTGTGGTATTAAAGATATGTTCATTTCTGTTTTGAAACCAATATAAGATGATATTGATTAATTTGAGTAGAATTAGATTAAAAGTGCAGTGATGGAGGATCTAATATCAATATGTGGTGATGGAATAACTTCTGAAGATGAGGATTGTGATGATGGTAATCTCATTCCATTTGATGGGTGCTTTAATTGTAAGTACTCATGTGAAGAATTATGCTAATTCTGTGTTAAAGGTGAATGTTTACTAATGCTAGAATTACAATCAAATTAGATATTAATATATTATTCGAATATAATAGATATGCCACCTGAATTACATTTAGAATAGTTTATTAATTGTGAAAATTTAGTTTAAGGGTTATGTTTGTAATGCAATTATGGATATTATATGAATTATATTAACAATTTATGTGAATCAATATGTGGAGATTCAATAATTTAAGGATTAGAATAATGTGATGATGGTAATGTTGATAATTATGATGGATGTTCAAATTGTTAATTAATTTAATATGAAAATTGTGAAATGTTATAAACATGTGCAGTTTGTTATTATGGTAAATGTATAAAATGTAATGATGGATTTACATTAGAAATTGATAGATGTATTTCTATTTGCGGAGATGCATTAATTAATTAACAAGAAGAATGTGATAATCCGAACTAATAAGGATGTAGTGATTGTTAAATCCAAAAAGGTTATGTTTGTCATGGTCCCAGCTATTCAATTTGTAAGACGTGTGGAATGTAATGTAAAGAATGTTAAAGTATAAATTAATTGGATCTAATATGTATTGATTGTATGTCAGGCTTTTATTCAGTTTTAGATTAATGCTTGTAATGTGATATTAATTGTATCACTTGTTAAGACTAATCAAATTTATGTACATCATGCTATAGAAATGATTGTGAGTTATGTGAATCAATCCCTGGTTATTATACTGATTTCTAGAATAAAATTTGTATTACCAAATGTGGAGATGGAATAGTTGCTTAAGAAGAAGAGGATTGCGATGATGGAAATTTAGAAGATGCTGATGGTTGTGACTCTCAATGCAGAATTGAGTTATCAGAAGACTTTATTGATAATTTATAAATTTGGCAATTAAATTCGAATAATGCTTATGATCTTTACCTTAATAAGTCCTAATATAAATTAGTATTAAATTGTTAGGATCCTATAATCACAATTGAAGGTATGTAAACAACAGATTTCATATATAACATATCCGCTTAAAATAATATATGCACCATTCAATTCCAATTCTTTAAATCTATATTCAAGTATAATACTATTTATATCTAACTCACCTTTTCATTCGAAAAAAATAGATTACTATTAGATGAAAATATTTAAACAATTAATTTCAAAATTTAACCTAATGAATAAATCTTAATGGATGAGAAGTAAAAATAATTAGCTTAGTAAATTTCAAATGCTTAAACAACTTTTAATTTTATTTTTCTTATTTTGATTCCAGTGTCCATAATTTTACACCTTTATGACTACTTGTGGGCGATATTAGAAATTTTAAGTTGGGTTAATAATTTTTATTTTTTAAATGTTCGTTACCCTTTTAATGTAGAAATGTTTTTTTTGAATTCTGATTGGTCATCCTTTGTTACTTTTCCAACTTATCAAGGATTAAATTAACCTGATTGTTCTTATTACTTTTAAGCTCCGTAAAAATTCTAAAATAAAGGGATAGATCCACTGTTCTTTAATAATATTTAGATTCCTTTTATGTTTATTTTTATTACTTTCCTCTTATACAAAATAAATTTCTTAATCTTACAATTCTTTAACACCATCAACTAATACAAAAACAAAAATCATATTCAAAACAATCATAAACACTTTAGTATTTTTAATTTACAAGTCATAAAGAAAGCTTAGAATAGTTTTGTTTAATAACCATAAACTAAAAATTACATATAAAATAATAGCTTATTACATCAGATAATCAATGGATTGATTATTATGGATAAGGAGTTGAAAAATAAGTTAAAATAAACTCTTTCATTGTGCTTGCTTGATATTACATTAGCTATTATGCTTTAAATTACTTTCTCAAATAAGAAGTAACACATAATTGTTGATTTAAATTAATTTTTTGCTGTAATTTCTGTTAGTATCATTTTGTTTTAAATTTACCAGCAATACAAAACACTTAATTTACATACATTACTTGCAGAAAATAAATAATACAAAGAATAATTCCAGGTTTATTATGAAAATGTCAATACAAAAGAATCATTTGGATATTATTTTAAATTCTTTGGATTAATTCGAAAAATTTTATATATCTATTTTATGGTCTATTATTATAATATACCTATTGTTTAAACATCATTATGTTTTATTTCAACTTCAGTTGGAGTAATGTTTATTTTATACAAAAATCCCTATAATACTAAGAAAGAATTTTATTAATAGCTTATAACAGAACTTAGTTTAAGCTTAATATTATTGATTGCAGTCATATTTTCAATAAATGATACAAAAGAAATTGCCTTTATGAAACAAATTAAAGTGAACTTAGGCTGGGCTATAATTTCTTTTGTCCTATTAGCAATCCTTGTTTAGCTATTTGGATTAACATATGAATTCATAGTCAATATCTATTAAGCAATTTTGAAAATGTAAAATTATTTCTAAAATTTAAATAAAAATAAAATTGAATAATACGACAACAAAATTCTTGAGAATACAGATAGCTAAAATGCCCAAGGTAATATAAAATAATTGAAACAAATTAGAAAAACAAGTGAATCCTTATTCATAACTAATTTATGAAATAATATTTAATTATTCAATTCAATTTTAGATTTCAAATTCTGCGTTTAAATTACTTCTCAATGAATTTTATTTCAAATTTTTCTAAAAATGATAACCATGTTGTTGTTTATTAGAATTGAAATCTAATTCTAAATTATTATTTTATTATTGAAAATATGAAATATTTTATTATGATAAGATTGAACAGATGGCAATTAGAGATATTTAACAATTTAAATTGATGGGTTAAAAAATAATCTAATTAGGTGAAATACTGAAAATATTTATAAAAAAGTATTAATTTTACTTATGCGTTCAGAATTATACTAAATATCTTAAAAAATAATAAGTTTGCACTTATTTAGGCTTGATTAATATTGAAACTTTGCTAGAACTAGGATCTTATTATGGTTGGTATTTGTTCTTTCAATTTTGAAAAATTAAAATGTAGTACATTCAAAGGTTTAGTTATTTAAATTAATCTGAAAAGATTATTAAAGAAATATGAGTAATATCAGATGGAAAGCAGAACTACAAAGAAATATTAGTTTAAATATATAAATATAATGTTTATTCCATATGTAATAATTTATATTTATAGAAATGGAGTGTGAGATAAAACTCAATGCATTAAGGAAAAAGGGATGAATTAATAAAGTCTGAAGAAGAATTTGAGATCTACAAAAAGATCAATCATTAAAAATTATAACAAAGGAATAAAAATTAATCTAAATAAAACTTTTATATTTATGAATCATCAATATTGATTTGAGAGATTAACTAGAACTTCAATTTCAATTTGAACATCGATCAAGCACAAAGGAAAAGAACCACATAGAACCATTTGTATGCTTTTGATAAAATTTTTATAATCCTTTTGTTTCTCAGTATGATAATGTATTTTTAGCAATAGTTTATTAACTTAAATCTCAATAATGAAAATTATTTTTACTCACTAAAAATAATAAGTTTATCTGCTTCATTTTACTCATAATTTATTAATTTTATTACATTAGTAATTGATTGCTTGTTCAATTGGCAATTTCATAAATATCAAAATACGATTATTCAATTTTACTTAATTTTATTAATCAAATTCATATCATTTTAAGTAATTAAAATAATATCGCTTCATGAATTATACAATTTAAACGAGCATTATTCAATAAAATAGAAATAAAATTATTAGATTTTCAAAATAGTTGTTTTCATTTGAATGTTATTAAATTTTAATTCATCAGATTGATAGTAATATCTTTTACTCTTGGTTCGATCATCATATTGCAACTCGAAAACGATATGCTCTATAGAATTCGAATAAGGAACTTTACTATAAGGAAGATAAAAAAGATCATTGATGTCCTGGAAAAAGGATTATAGAAAAATAAAGTAATCTATTTGCTTACACAAGAAGTGTCCATTTTGCATTCTTCCTTTTTTATATAATTGCTAGAGCATTAATAATGGTTTGAAGTCTTAAATTTTAACTAACTTATTTAAAAAAGAAATTACTTATTTTTATAAAATGTTGGGTATTTTTTAATCCTTTATGGACCAAAAGGGTCTAACTGTATTTATTTATTTTTGCATTACCTATTACCTATGGACATGATGATGTTTAAGTAATAATCTACTTTGAGAAGGAAATTAAATGTATAACTTATTATTAACAATTATTAATATTAAATTAATTATCATTTCTAAGGGTATTGCTTCTTCAGTTTCATGTTTGTTTATTCTTTGTATTTTCTATGATATAAAAATTATTTACTGAGCATTATTTTTATATCTTTAATTGATGGTATTTAATATATTTTGGTTTGTCTTTATTGTCAACAGCTTGAATTGATGGCAAAAATTTATTATAAAATCCCCTCATTAAAATTTATTTTTATTTAGGAGGATTTAATTCTATTCTATTTATAACTACTTGTTCATCTAAGCAATATTTCTCATAATAATTTATTTCATTTTCAAATTATTAAGGGCACGCTTGTCTGATTTCACTTTGTAATTTTTGTTTAGTTTTTATTAAAAGTTATCTTAAATTAGGATCTTTTGAAGTCAATTATAAATCGTGATTTATGGAATTTGAGAGATTCATTTGTGTTAATAGTTTATTTCAAAAATTTTAACCAAAATATTTTCTTGACTTTTGAAATATTCTTTAACAGCTTATAATGAATAAAGAAGATTAAGAAAATTTTAAAAGACTTAATAGACATAGTACAACATTATGGCTTTTCCTTCTTCTAAATTTATTATTGTAGTTATTAATATTGTTGATAATGCTAATTACCATTCTGTTGATAATTTAAAAATTGTTATTTGGCATTTTCGTTGCTAGCAATATTTATGATTCCTTGAGATCCACTCATTAAATTATTTATCACAATAAAATAGTACTTATTGAAGAGGAGATGATAAAATAGAATTAAATAAATTATTCTATTGCTTATATTAATTATCATCATTAAAAATTTAACGAGTATTTTTTAAATTATTAAGAACTCCGTAATTCTATTTACTAATTTAATTCTTCCATACGACCGATTAGTAAATAGTAGTTTATTTACTCAAATGTTGTTTGAAAATACTTAACTACTATGTAAAGTAAAAATACAATGAATTGAATAATATTTGGATTATGCAATATCGATATTTATTTTATATTGCAATTTTAATTACAGCAGTATTCATCAATCTATTAAATATCAGATGAAACAGGATAATTGGTTATATTTGCACTTTCTACATCAGATTTTGATTAAGGATTTTATTTGATGATAATCTCTGTTATTATAGAGCTCTAGAACAAAATTATATGCATTTGTGTATTGTTTCCTATTTCCTGCATCAATTTATGTTCGAAATGCACCTAAACACTAAAAATTATAAAGAATAAAAATTTTAAATAGTATTATGATAAAACAAAGACACTAATTCAAAAAAGAAAATTCAATAATTTTTAATTTTCAGTGGAAATTAGAGTAAATCAATAAATTAATAATCTATGAGTATAAATCCTATCTATAATAACAATTATTCATAATATTGATTATAGTTACTGAAAAAATGAAAATTCTAACAATAAAAATATTTGTTTCAAGAATTTTAAGAAAAAGTCAATTCCATCTTTGAAAAATTGGCTGACTTAGTTTTGATAAGAATTCCTAATCCTATGTTGAATGAGATACAAAATGAAAACAATGAAATTAAAGTTAGAATATTATGTTATAATATTAAATAATTAAAATATACAAAACAGTCTAATCAATATTATGATAATTTAAATTGATAAAATCATTAATGGAGTACCATTTGAATAAGCGATTGAGAAAACTTAGTTTCATTTCAATTTTTATCTAACAAATCGTTACACATTAAAGAGATATTTTTGATGAACTGAAATGTTCTCTATATTATCATCATGATTCTTTTAGTGCTAAGATACGCATAATTTATGATTCAACAGATGTAGATATAAGAATTAACTAATCTCAAAATAATTGAATGTCTAATCTTACTAAGTATGAAATCTTAAATTGAGTTATTCATTTCCCTAATTTAATCAACTTACTTTTATCAATAATAAACTCAATTTTAATTTAGACAAAGATAACTCTTTTGATTAAAATCAAACCAATTATTTTTTATTGATATAAGATTGTAAATGCTTGATATTTATAAACGATTTATTAGTTTGTGCAAGACATTTGTATATGATATGAGTATAGATTATAAACACATTTCTTAAAAATATATTCTAAATGATTGGCAACAATGTTAACGCTAAAGTTGTATTGTTCACAATTATTTTCTAAACTGAGGGTTAAAAATCAAAAAAGAAAATCAAGAATAATTTTTTTTTTAATTAACATCCCAACTTCTTTACTACAGTTTCTTTGATACATCCCTCATCACAGGAATAAATTTAAGTTATTAGTTCATATTTCCCCATAATCCTACATTGATTTTAGAAGTGATTTAATACTTAAAGATTCGAGGTGAACTCATACACTAAATCCAATCAATCTCAGCACTTCTAATTTAATATCTGTTTTGCTCGACAAACGATTTACTTTCATTCTCTCCAGTTTCTTTTAGAAAAAAATTTTCTTTTTGGTAAGTATCATATTATGATCTTATTATCTTTAGTTTTCATAACATTTCTTGTTTATTGTCTACTTGCTTTTGGAAATTCTGATATTCCTTAGATATTCATATACTAATTATATTAGGTGAAATAATTGAAATAAATTTCGGTTCAGCATTTCCAGTTTGTTTTCTTATTTTTCTATTAGGTCATAAATTTTAAGGAAATATAGGTCTTTATTACAATTCTAATCTTAATTTTACCAAAAAAAGTATGAAGGAAACCTAGAAAATTATATCAACTTCAAGTTAATTAAGTAGTTCAATATGAAGACGATATCTAATATCTTCTTTCTTCAAAAGTTGACTCATTTAATTTATAAGTAAATTTAATTATTAATATTAATAATTAGAATTATAGATTTTATATTAGGTTTTAATTGCATTCCCTTAATTAACAAGTTGAGACTACTTTCGTAATTAGAAAATTGGATCGTAAATTTGAAGCATAATTTGTTTATTTATTTTTAAGAGTACATCTCCAAAAAGTTCAGAATTTAAAATTTAAATCCATCCTCCAAAAGAGAATGTAGTTTTCGTTATTTAACTCTTCATTAACAAATACTTCAATCTTCACATTAGTCTTAGCATATATTCCACTTTGTATCTCATATAAGTTCAAGAAAATAATTATTCCAATTTTCATAAGAAATCATAATGAATTAAGTAAATAAATTGTGACTAGGAAGAATTCTAATTCAATTTTTTTTGCCAAAAAATTTCTTATTTCAAATAGTGGTTTTAATAATTTAATAATCTTCCATTTCTTTCAATTTACCACTTTCTGCTCATCTAAATAACGCATAATTAATTCATATCTTGTACAACAATTAAAAACTAAAATATTTTATGTTTTTTTATTCTACATTATAAATCTCAATGATTTTTGAAATATTTATACTCTTTTAAGATAGACTAAATTCAATTTACCAGCTAATTTAGGAGGATTTTGTTTAATAATATAAATAAAATATCAGACATCATTATCAACGAAATTATTGAGAGTATTGAGAAAATTATATGTTAGTGATTAATTTATCACAAGTAAATCAAATAGAAAACCATTAAAAATATAAAGGTAGGTTAGATCATTTTTTATTAAATCCACATTCCAGATTCTAATCGAATTATCAAACCACCTGATATGAATTGATCCTCTTGCTTATTTAATATTAAACAAGAAACTAAGCCATTATGTTATCCATATGGTTTTGACGATTACCATTCATTCTAATTAATTTATTTCCAGCAATGATTGATTTATCCCAACCTCCAGAAATATAGCAATTATTTTTTTTGCTATGCACTAAACATTAAACATAACCTTAATGCATCTGTAATCGAGTTGATAATTGTAATTTTCTTTGGATAAATTCCAAACCATAATACCAATCCCATCGGTAGATATCATAATTGATCCAGTGTTATTGAAAACTATTGCATTAAAGAAGTTTATTTATTTATTGAAATCATCAATTAATTTAAATTCAACCTTAGTGTATTTAATATAACATTTTCATTAAGTGATTATACTTAAATTATGTCACTTTTTTTAATTAAGCTTGGTTGTTAATGGATAGTGTCTAAATTTGTTAATAATTATTCACACTTTTTAATCGATTCAAATTATTTGAAATCATTTAACTTTAGAATTACTTTTTGGCTTTGAGACTTGTTAATTGTGTTAATTAAGTAATTAAAAGTTTGTAATCAAATTCTCCAATATACATTTGATTAATTAGTTTATCCAGTTCCTCAAAAAAACTATAATTTACATTTATTATAAACATTTGATCCATTCATTTTTATTACCAATAATTTAATCTAATAATTTGAAAATATCTGATTTTAATAAATATAATGTTTTCTAAAGTTCAGTGATCTAGTTGATATTCACCATAATAGCTTATTCCACTACTTCTACCTTTTTTGATTTTCTTCAATTATTGAAACAACTTTTAAAAACTCAGTACATTATTTAAATTAGATTCTAAATTATCCATACATTTAGTGCATAAGAGTCTTTTTTCTTCTCTTTACTTTTATCGCAAACAACCATATAAATTGCAATTTTATTATTCATTGAGCATACAAGTTCTTCCTCTTTTTCTATCATTTTTAATTTAATTTTAAAATTAATTAATATAGTATAAACCTCTTAAATGCTCTCAATAGAGATTCAAATACAAAATAAGCACATATATAATCTTGTTATCAAATAATTATGAAAATTTTTGTTTAATATTCTGGATCTTGCTCAAAAACAGAAATTTCATTTGATAAGTGAAAAATAAATTTTGTTTTAGGGTGCATGCAAAATATAATTACTTCTTTATATACTATATGTGAGGCCTATTATATTTAGATAAATACACAATAGAATATTTAATTCTTGTCGCTCATATTATCTAGCTCGTTAAAATATTTTTACTGTTGATTAGAATTGTAATTTTTTGGGAATTTGAGGTTGAAATCAGAAAAATTACTCTACTTTAGTAAGAACATAGGATTGATTGAATTTATTTAGTTATGATTTTATAGATGAAGTTTATCTATTGAAATTATGTGAAATCGATTAGAAAATGACATGACATGAAAAGTCGTGGAGAAATATTTGAGTTCTAAAGGAACCAAATATTAGCAGAAAGAGCATTTGTGAAATTTTTGAATGTCTGAAATTTTTAACTTCGTAAAATCTTTTGTTATTCATAATACAAATTTATATTGCCGCTTTATTCATTAATAATAATAATAAAGCAGAAAGAAATATATTATTTTTTTCATTCAAATATTCTTATTGAAACTCCACAATCTTAATTATCATTTGCATAAATTGTTAGTAATTAAACTAAAAGGAACTGATTTGAGGTTTAAATTATATTTCACAATAGCATAAATGAGGACAAAATGAGTGGAAGAGATTAGGTCTGGCCAACATCCAAGGCTCTATATTTGAGAATAAAAAAAGATTTTCTCCGCCTTTAGGATTAATGATACACTCAAGTATTTTGATATTCATATAAAGATGTTTATTGATTCATTCAACTAATTTAAATTGCAAAAATTAATTTATATGATTTGTTATGATTTTCATATATTTATTCCCCTAAATTTGAACAAGTTATCAATTTTTATAATTTGATCATAAATAAATTAGGTTGCTAAAGAATACACGAATTAATTAGTATTTCTTGTTAATCTTTAATCTTAAAAGGTAAAGTATCCAAATGCTTATGAAATGAAATATCTTACAAATATCAATTGAGACTAATTAATAATATCGGAAATATTTCTAGAGATTTGATGTTCTTTAATTAATGTTTTATTTGATCTTATATTAGTAAAATATATATATATATATGAGAATTTTTTATTGAAAATAATTTCAGGGAACAATGTATACTCATATATTTTAATAGAATCCAAGCAAAATTTACCATTATTTGTTTCCGAAGTTTTTTCCTAAAATCAGTCAAAAACTATTTGAGTTTTAAGATTTCTCATAAATCAAATCTATTCAATTATATCTAGAGTGGATATTTGATTAGATATCATGTAAAAGATTTCTATCAAATTAATGTTGTTGACTGATAAATTGGCTTTGAATGTATGAAAATCGGGTGTTCTCATTTAACTTTTTTTTTGAGATTTTAATAAAGTGACCTATTATAGTTATCCGAATGATATCGTATCTCGGCTCTTCTTGTAAAAAAGTGAATGTGGTGATGCCATTATCTATCCCGTTTTAGTTTTTTTGCTTTATCATACTCCAATTTAGATAATTACTAAATGGTTGAGTCTCCAGCCATAATTCTTAATTCAATTGTAAAATAGTACATATATAAATGACATTTTGCAAATCTTATATGTAAACTCAATCTATCTAGGGGAGACAAAGAGTTATTTTCTCTCAAAGGAAAAATTTATTGCATGCTCAACAGTACAGAAGCCTTTACAGCTTTTGTTAGTTATTGGCACATGGGTGGTTATGAGAAAAGATAAAATCACTTACTCCATTATGTTAGAATAAACCAAGAATGCCATTATTTTTTCTTGTAATTATAATGACTCCTTTAAACTGTTTCTCTTTCTAATATGGGCTTGAGCAAGACCATTAGTTTTCTTGTAGGTAGTAATAAATGCAGTGAATTATATCATTTTTGATTCATCTTCTGTAGGCTATGATTATGATTCTGGAGATTTACAATGCACTTAAAATACGATCTTAAATCTGAAGCATATTTTTACAAAAAGTAAAAAAGTTGGTTATAATTTTTATAACTACCTATGTAAACAATGAAGTTTCACTTAAGTCGATGTTGACAGTGTAATTTACTTAGGAGATTAAACCTTAAATGCAGAAGTTGCCTCCTACCAATCTTATCTTCAAGAATATTAAAATTATGATCAAACTTTGAAAAGAATTTGCATGAACTAAATTTACAATCTTTTGGCCAAAATTGAGTTGCTTAATCATTCAAATTATGTTACAAGAAAAATGTATTATTTGTGTTACTCTTGTTTTTCAGAATATTATGGGTACCTATATGTCAGCGCATGTAAAATAGATGCACCTGTTTCCCTATTATCAGTACTACATAGATGAATTCTTTTAATTTCACCAATCTAGCCCCAGTTTATAACTCACGAGAGGTTCCATATCATACTTACAGTGATTCCTGTTAGGAATGTATTACTACTGCTAATTAATGTGTATCTAGAGTTTCTGAATTTTATTGTCCATTCTTTTGCAGTATATGTGATGATTACAGCCCTTGCTCAATGCCCTTTTTATATCATTCAATGTTAGTCATCATCTATGTTACGAGCAAGCACTAAAAATTAAACATTTCCTGACTATTTTATAAATAGCAGCCAATTTTGAGAAGGATACCCTATTTATCAAAAATATATAGTGCAAATACTAAATTTATTATCTAGACAAATTGGAAAAATAAATATAATAAAGGCAATTTATTAAAATCAAGTGTTGGCTTCACATCTCTTTTATATTATCCTCAATCATTAATTGTTTGAATTGAAATGGTATATTGACATTTATCTAAATCGAAGGAAATTGAATAGCAGTAATTGATACATATGCTCATGATTTACCTTCGGCATATATTTTGCAATATGGAATAAAACAGTTGGTAATCATTAAGAAAATAATTCCCTAACAACGTTCTCATTTAAGCTACCTTTTAAAATAAAGAAACTAAAATTTTGGTATGGTTGATTATATAAATTATACGATGCCTTTATATTCTAAGGCTAAATTAAATTAAAAGAAAGTAAAAATAAGCTATAATTTTGAATTGCAAACTCAATCTATTTAAATAAATTAACATAATGCTCAACACTAAATTTGTATTGATAAATATTACCAATGTGTTTTAAGAAATTAAAAATCCCATTTGTAATTTTAGGCTGTTAATGATTACTTGTTATTATTATCTGTAAATACAATTTTTTTCCTATCGAACCAATATTTAGATTACCATAAATTATATCTTTTAATAGTTTTATATTATATTCATATAATTCTATTATATTTTAAAATAGAATATGAGCATATATTTATTAAAAAATGTCTTTTAATTGATATCATTTGAATCAATGTGTAACTAACTGAGTGAATAATAACTTTCTCAAAGAATATTAACAATTGAGGTTGTTAAAAGACCCTTAGAATCATCATCTTTATAACTAGCAGGTCAAAAAAAGGGAAAATTAAAATGGATAAAAAAGCTGTTTTCCAATTCTTTTAAACTTCATTATGCAATAATTTTAAAAACAGAAGAGAATGGTTAATATATATTGCACAACTTATAAGATGGATTCACTTCTACTACTATTACTGATGAAGATAAAGTTCATTATTAATAACACGAAATATATCAATAAGAATAGTTTAACAAAGTGTTTATTGTTCAAGAAATATTTGATTAATCTTCTTAGAACCAGAAATATAATTTGGTTAGCAATTCCTGTATTCATTATGTAAATTATGTCAAATAATATATTAATACGTATCTATTGGATATGAATAATTCAGCAACTGATAAAGTTAAAATCGAAAGTCTTCTTTAAACAGCAAAAATGTTGATAAAATAATCTTATTAAAATATTGTGAATTAATCTTTTGATATGTCAGAGATAACTAAAATTGCATAGGTTTATTCAAAAGACCCATCGTTCTATTCTGATATCATTTGTGAAATCATTAGCTGTTCTAAAAAATAAAGCGTTTGGGAAATATTTGGTAATGCAGTAATCATTGCAATTATATCTATAATTAATTTGATTCCTCTAATAAATGGAATTATATCAGCTGGTGCAATACTAGCAGAGCTCTACTTTATATGGAATTAAGGTGATGAAAGCATATTTAAAAGGTGTATAAGATCATTATCAATATTGATATAATTTGCTCTAGGAATAACTAATAACTAAGTTTCCCTACATAATTTATATGATATGTGCTCAGAACTTATAGAAAAAATTGAAATTGTAAAATTGCCAATAGAATAAAAAATTATTGTAGGAAGTAGTACTATTATGGGTATGGTTTTTGGAGGACTTCTTTAAGCTGGGATGATATCATTGCCTGCTCTTGGTTTCATCCCTATAGTTTCTATACCCACGTTATGTTTTGCAAAGATTGCTATTTTAATAGTGGCTAATATATTCAGCAGTGGGAATCCAGCTGTTTTATCTTTTTCAACATATATAACTTAAGCTATTTCATGTCGTTCTAATGTAGTTGAGACAACGATCTAAGTAGCAAGTTGTGCAATTTCCGCTAAAATCGGATTGAGTTTAATTAGTATTGGGTTTAGTCACGTTATGATTTTTGGAGCAGCAGGTTTGTTTGTTGGATTAGCAATTATAAAAATACTTTAAAAAATAAAATGATTGATTAAAATAATTTATAATTAAAATTAAAAAAAAAATAATATAAGTACACAAATTGATATGAGTGTTTTTTTAAATTCATAATAACTTTTCAACAGGAAATTTATGATGAATATCTTCAAAATTAATTAAAAGTGAATATCAATAGAATTAAAGCAAACTAGATTGATATAAGACTTAATTCATTATGATTTTGAAATTTATGTCACGTCTTAAGAAATTGAAGTTTTTTATTGTGTTCAGTCAGTTAAGATACCCTTTATGAAAATATAAAACAACAACTACATAGTTTCCTTAATTCTTCATTAATGAGCTTTTGCTGCCTCTAACATTACTGGTGCTAGTATTATTTATTAAAGTCTCTAAGTACGCTTTATTAAAAGATATTAGATGTAAAAGTACATTCTAGTCTCAAATTATAAGGCAGTTTTTCTTTCCACCTCTAATATGAGTGGTAATCCGTGCCTTTCCTTCTTAGTCTCTCAAGTGATTGACTATCTTTATTATTCAAGTTGGGAACTCTTCATTATCATCTATTCCTGAGTCTCTTATCATATCAAATGTCCTTTATTAAATTTTATATTGTATAATAATCTCATGCTGGTTATCAATTTGTTTGTTAAATATGTTTTTGAATGCGACTCAATCTTATTCAATACAGATTTGAATTTCTTTACCTTCTATTTCATCTTACTTTAAATAGCCTTTTAGACCTTACTACTAAATTGTTATGTCTTCAGTGAAGTTAATAATTTTTCAAAATTTCTTTACCCGATTTCCTGAGAGTTCCCATTAAAATATGATCTTTCTTGGGTTTGATCTCTTTTTTATTATTGGATCCGCTGAGTCTGCGCTCTCCTTCATTTTAATAATTTTCTCTCTTAGCTTCCAATAGTTGGTCATCTCTTCTATATAGCAAAAAATATTCTCGAATTCAATTTATAGAACTTTTCTTTATATATATCTCATCAATATTTAATACACATCATTTTTAAACCTTAGTATAAAAATACCAAAAAAATGTAATGAAAACAATGTTTTTTCAAAGGAAGGTTTTAATATATATTTTGAAAGAATTCTGTCCTTCATCTTTATAGGTATTAGTGTAATTATGGAATAAAATGATTAGAAAATTATTTCAACTTTTTAATTTATATGGACAAATAGGAATATATTTTTGATATAATTAAAAGTACAGTTTGATAATTGTTGTTCAAATATATTTGATGAACTTCAATATTTTCAAATTATATTTCTTTTTAGGACCATTCTAAATACGCCGTTTGTAAATTTACAAAAAAGGAGGACTCAATAAGAGTATAATTATACTTGTATTATTTATATGTAATAAAATGGGTCTATGTTAATCTGAACAACTATAAAATTGATATTGGTGATGTGGATGTGCTTAATATATAATCGCGTAAAGAACTGTTTAGGAGTTTTACTAAGCATAACTTTTTTTTAATTCAATAAGGCAAACAATCTAACACTCAGCATTGATATTAGAGTGCGTATTAATTCTTTTGCATTGGCGTTATTTGCCTCAGACAATAATCTTAATTCAGATGATTAAGAGCAACTTACTCAAAAATACTTGATTAAATAAGAGATAGATAGAACTATTTTATGGTCTAAAGCATCTAATTTAATACTAATGAATATCAATTTACGTTGAAATAAGGTTTATAGTAATTAATTTCTTGAATTAACTCAATAATATTTTCATTTTAAGAATGCAATCGAAATAGATTTTTCAAATGAAGTACATTATAGCGCTATAAAGATCCTATCAAGAAGGCTCAGCTGTCTTATGAAACAATCTGATGATTTAAGAAAGACCTAAATTTCATTTTTTAAATTGTTTAAGAATCTGTGAATTTTTTTCAATAATATTTGAAGGATTTATTACTGATAAATCAAAACCTGCTTCATACACTTTCTTGGAAATGTGGGTTAAATTACGCTACCTATTTAAATCAATTAGAAAGCTTAATTCCTAAATTTGATTTATTCCTAAGTAAGATTGATGAAAAGATGTCAATGTTTATCTCTTGGACAACACAAACTTTTCCCACTAAAGGCTTATATATATATAGTTTCTAATTACTTTGAGCTACTAGCTTAACATTTACATTGTTGCATAAATCCATGATATATTAATAAAATAAAAATTGAATTAAGATTATTTCTCCTAGAAACTCTCGTCTTCTCCCATGAGTTTAGCTCTACGTTTATTCTACAACACTTTTATCTTAAAAGTTTTACTTAGGGAAGATCACCTATTTTCATCCTTATTACAGTAATATCAACGAAAGAGCTCTTCTGAACATGATTGAGGCACTAAATGGTATTCATTAAGAACAAGAAACCTTCTTTCAATCAACTGAATAAACTGAATACCATGCATAATCCTAAGTGCTTCATATTAGTTACTCATTACTTCTAGTTTTTTTTGATAATATTGTCTTTCCAAACTAATGAGTTGTTACATATTTTCAGATCGTATCTCCAATCAAAACAATATGTTAAGATATATTTTTGGAGCATTTATGCTAATTTAAATTTAAATCCATTCTTAAGTTTTCAAATAAATCTATTTCAATATTAATATTTTAAAGCATTGTTGATTTCTTTTTTTTTAAAAGTATCTAATTTCGATTTCATTTCTGTGTTAGAATCAATTGATATTATTTTATCAATGTATTTTGTATACTGCTTTAAAGCATATGAATTGTTTACATTTCTATTTTTCCTTAACTTATCGTAAATACTTTTTACATATTTGATAGATCAAGGAATTTGTTCTAAGAAAAACGATTAAATTAAGTCAATCTGCATTATGGCTGTTCAAAAATTTTAATCTTCAGAGTTTTAGTAAACCTGTTAATTAGAATTATTCTCCTTTAACTCTTCATGTAAAAATTGAATTGTTTGTAGGGTTTTATTATTGGAATAGCCTTATCTGCTACCAATTTCTCATTCTTGTTTTCATAAAATTATTTCTTTCTTAAATCAAGCCATAATTCTGCGATTTTAGGCTAATTCCAATACTAAATTTTTATAAATTGAACAATGTAATTCTGATGAAGGATTTTACTGAATAATAGCAATTTTATCTTGATATGAAATTGATATTTTCTCTCCATAAATTCAAAATTTACAAATCACAAATTGTAACTTTTTTTCTATACCTCATCTCTTTTCTTTTGAGTAAGGCGCATTTAGAAAATAAAGAAAACCATTTTTATTACTTACTAAATAATTAGAATTAAAACTTCGCAATTGAGAAAAAATTTACTATGCTTCAATTATATTAATAATATTATGCTTAAAATACGATTAATTTTTTTCTTATATTATCTAATCAAAAAATTTTCAGCATGTTAATTTTAATGTTATGTCTTAGAACTAAATACGTTCCTATCTCCCAATTTTTAAATCAGGTTATTTTATTTTAGCTGGAGAAGTATTTCTCCAAGTTAGAGATTACAGGGAATCTTTGGAGTCATTTGCTCAAAAGAGTATTTATCCTCTGTTATAAACTCAAGTAATATTCTATAATAAATCAAAATTTAAAAACATAATTGAAGGTTCCTAGAATTTAGTCACTTAGTATTTGGTCAATTTTTGTCTGTGGACAAAAAAGTTAAGTCCCGCATAATAAGGAAATTCAGTTTATTGTTTACAATTCAAAAGTATAAATATTTATGAAGATAGGCTAGTGAAAAAGGTGAGCAAATGCTATTGTTAACAAAAATGGTTGTCTAAAATTCTATTGTAAATATAATAAGATCTATACTTTACAGATATCATATCAGTTAATCAGCAACACTTGCCGCAATTACAACCAAAATAAATTAATTTAAAGTTCCTAAATATATTTAAAATCTATGAAGAGAAAGAATAATAATGAGATAAGTTTAAATGTTTTAATATCATTCTTAATGTTGAACAAAGCATTATTTTAATGCAATTATTTACAAAATTAAAATTGACTTATACTTAAACTAAACAGATTTTAAATTTCATAATGGTTGATGATCGATTTTTCAATTAGAATAAAATATCAATTTAATTAGCCACTTTATAGAATTTACAAACTGCATTTATTAAAATATTGGTAATGATCGTTGTAGAAATAGAATTTAATATAATTAAACTAAGGTCTTTTAATAAATAATTTGCTAGTTTTAATTTCATTCATATTTTTTCCTCATTATTTTAAAAATGAAGAGTGAGTTACTATTTATTATTTACATTTTATTAATATAGACTACCAGATAATAATGTATGAGATAATTTAGGGAATTAGAATCAATATTAAAGAAAAATCATAAGAATGTGCTGTAATATTAAGTTGGAGCATTGATTTCACGAGCAAGATAAAATGGGTTTAGAGATGGAAATTATGGTTCTTGCTTAAAGGATGATGCTTATACTATTATGTCCGATGGCGTGCCCTATACATCTTGTTTTATAAGCCAAAAAATTTCCATATCACTAATGTAAAATTATTTATTGAATACATTCGAAATTTGGCTTTGGGATTTAGGCTATCGCATAGGTGAAGGTATCAGATTTTATACAATAATTGTTTATGCTGTGTTGAATGGAGTTCAAACTAAAATTTATGATAGTAATTTAGCAATATCAATAGTCAAGATTACATTTCCAGATCAATTTGTTGAAAGATTTGATGTATTAAATGTAGGAGGTAATACTTACAATTCAGGTTTGCACATTTTAAAAGTGAATGCATATTATAAATTTTCATGAATCTTATTTACAATTTTTAAACTCGATGTTTCTCTCTAAAAATATTTTCCATTAATTAAATAAGAGCAAGATCGCATCTAAAATGAATTAGATGGGTAACTATAAATTTATAAGCCTGACAAATAAATTTAAGAATATAATAATAAGTTTTAATATTACCAATAACTGGGTGCCACTTGTTGGAATGTATCAAATATCTATAAATAATATCATCGATTACTAATAATTATTTCAAACTCATAAAATAATTTGATTGAATTATTCTGGAATCTATTTAAACAAACAAAAGTGAATTAATCATGATTTTAATTGTTAAAGAATATTATCAAATTTAAAATGAGAAAAAATAATTTACACAGCAAAATATTTTCAATAATAAAATTTAATAAGACACTTAGCTAACACTAACAAAGTAATTTTTTTTTTTTATATTCAATGCTTAAATTGCTTAAGAATTGTTATCCAATTCATCCAAATTCATAATCTATTCAATCTTGAATAAAGAAATCACAAGCTTATTTGTTGCTCAAAATATCTTTCAATTTGCTTTAACATTCTTTTTGCCTTAGACATATCACTTAATCTAAATTCTAAACTATTTTTATAAATTTTAGAGGAGAGATTAGAAAAATCTAAAATTAATTTCTACCGAAAGATTTATTTCAAGTATATAACTAATATTTTTGACTAATTTCTTTTTAGGTTCTGTAGTTTAATTGAGAAAGAGTAGAAGCACATAAAGTGAGATCCCTCTATTCTTTACTCACATATCAAAATTCTCTCAATACTGTTTTTTCTTGTGCTATGCATTAAATTAAAATTAAAAAAATAATTATTTATTATATAGGTCTATCATTCGCAAGAGCAACTTTCAAATATGAAAAAAGAAAATGCCATCCGCCAAAGAATTAGAAGGATTTTCAATCCATTTTATAAACGGGTTTGGTAATCTTAATTCTAGAAAATGGTAGGAAATCTGGACGAATTCAACTAGATATAAGATTATAAAATCAGTATTCGCATTCAATATATTATCTATGATTGTAATGTATTCCATATAGGCTTCTTACTTGAAAAGAATAAAAAATTACGGATGAAACAAGAATTTATAGGGAACTACTCTTTTTGAGCTCTAATTAGGAAAATAACTTGATGAGGATATACTTCTCTCACTTTTCATAAGTATTATGAAATGGTCAATTTAACTCAAACATCGCTCTACATTATCAAATTTATTTGTTATACTACACTAACTTGTAAGTAATAAAAGTAATCAAATGAAAAAAATTTTGAATAACTGTTAAATGTATTTTTTATAAATCCTATATAGGTATTTAGAAATAAATAACTGAGAAGCATGATTATATGTAATAATATCTAATTAGTGGTGCTTTATTCATCACTCTTTAAGTTTTTAGTTTTGAAAAACAATGAGATTATTGCAATTATATTTATTTCTACTTAGTATAATTTTTCAAAAAATTGAACATTTTAATATCAAATTCCTATAAATATTGTTTATTATCTACCCACTATTTGGTCATTTGATATTAATAAATACTTGCTAAAAAAATATTCATGTAAATCATAATTCTAATACTGAATTCATAATTTTGCATATTTTTATATTTTGTAGTAGGATATATCTTAGTATAGTCTAACCATTCCTTTATTTCCTCCTGTTTTGTATATACTTTAAAATGAGACTTATAATTTTCAACTTAATTCAGTATTGTTAATCATTCTAATCATATAATTCACTGGCACTATAAAGAGCGTAAATTTAACATCTCTTTTTTTATATTTATGATTAGAATAAATTGATGAGTATGATTGTTTAACATATATATGCTCCCCACTCTATAATTTCTAAAAACAGGATCTTTAAATAACCTTATAGAATTTGTTCTGTGGTTCTAATCAAAATCCATTATTTTGCATAATTATCATACCATTTCGCTCATTAGTAATTTCATTAACAAAATTTTTCATTGTAATATTCTTTAACATTTAAATCTCTTACTAGCTTATGAGTATTATAAAATTTTTATGAGTAGATATTTGATAATTTTATCTAATTAAGTAACAGTTAAGGATAATTAAATCTATCTAAGTAAGTATTTATCAAAATCTATTAATATAAAAGAGATAGCATTATCAAAAATTAAAGAAATTTAGTATAAACAATGAATATAAGGCTTTAAAAATTTAAAATGTTAATTTCGAAATAATCTTAACTTCAATTCTGTAATGATATAATATTAATATCAAATTCAAACATTTTATCAAGTTATTTCTTCATTTCCTTTTAGAAGTATTTGGCTTTAGTTTTATCTGTATAATTCAACTTTATTTAGATAAAAAATTATGAAATGTGAGTGAAAGTTCAAAAATGAAAAATTTCTAAAAGGAATATAATTAACCTTTATATAGGAAATATTCAAACTTTAACAAAGGTAACTTTTGGATAGAATCAAAAGTAATTGGTGTTTTAGGAAAAATACCAAATAAAATTTTACGAAATAACCATCATGGGTTAAATCCCTTTCCCTAATATTTGAAATTGGTGAAAATGAATCAGTTTTCATAAAATTGAGAATAATTGGATTTATGATATCATAGACTGTCAATCATATTCTTCTAAGGCTTATGAGTCTACTAACCCATTCATAGTTTTTTATGTTAAAAACTTAATAATTGATTAACCTTTCAAAAAATTACCAATATCTCTTCACAAGTATTGATCAACTTTTTAAATATCAAAAAAATCTTTACCAGTTAAAAAGATTTAGGACTTCAATAAGAACTTAAGATTATACAAAATACTGTTATAGCTAATTTCATTAATGTTATTGACACTTTTCAAAGATTAAAAAGAAAAAAAAATGTTGATTAATTGGGTTAACAACATTGATTGCATAAATTGGTAGATATTTATAATACCAAAATATTCTTAAGATTAATTTACTCAAAATATTTAGGTTAAACTAATTTACTTAAATTTATTTAATAAATTAACACTTGAGAAACTAAAGTATGTTTAGCTTAATACAACAAAATATACAAAAGAGGATATTCTCTTTCATTTTATACAGAATTTTCTTTCAAAAACATTAAAGAACAATCTTAAATTTTTAACCTTATAATATATTGTAACAATTTTTCATCTCAATCCAATCCGAAGTTGATGTGACTCCCTTTACCTAAACTAATTATAAAATTTTAAAAGAAGTATAATAAAATATATTATATATTTTAGTAGCTTAATTAATTTTGTAACGAAGTAGCTTTATTACAAGAAATAGTCGATTCAAAGGTTAAGAATTAAAAATCAAATAATAGAGGTTGAGATATATAGATATTATGAAAAAGAGTGTAGTTATAAATCTCTGTTGAGTAAAGTAGTTTATTTAAAATAGATGAGGACATTTGATCTAAAGAAAAACAAGCTACTCATATTCAGTATGCTACAGTAATGATTATTATGTGATAGTAAGTTATTTTAGATTATATTTATTATTCTTTTATGTTTTATTTTTCCTTTTTCTCTGAATCAATGCTGATCACTTATTTATTAAACTTCTAAAATAAATACCATGAGTATTTTAGGAATATTCATAACTTAACATTAGGATGAGATAACAACTTAAAATGAACAACAAAGGCAGATATTGTATTTCGCCATTCTTATTCCTTTTTCTTATCATCTTTCCTTTTAGACAAATGAAGATGTTCATAAATGCAGCTTAAAAAATTTTTATTAATAGATATTTTAAATTTAAAAATCTTTTCTGAAATACATATATTTACACTTAATATTACAGATGTCTAATTCTATTGGAATTCTCTAAGAGCTTAACATCAGAAAAACGAATTAAAAACCAATATAAAATGCCTCAATAAGAGTTAGAAATAAGTAAATATAATATCAGTTTGATCAATTGCTTCTAAACGTTAGCTAGTAAAATTGGTAATCATTTCAAATTCAAGATATAGCAAGCCCTTTCAAAGAGTTAACTCAATTAAACTAATTGTATTTAATCAAATGAAACTCCTTTTGTTGCCTATCCCATTCTATTCAGTGTTATTGTAAAATCCAGATTAGAAAATTTATCATTAAACCCAGTTAGACATTTTTATCTTTCCTCAGTTCTTTTTTCAATCATTTAGAAGTCAATCGAGATTTTCTATCCTTATTATTTATGGATCTTTAGATCATCATAAAATAATTTTAATTTGGATCATTCTTCAAGATTAAATTATCTCAATGGACCGAAATGGTATTATAAAATTTGAATTCAGTAAAGACAACGAATAATTAATTTTTCATTTTCAAATATCAAATATCAAGAAAAAGATACAGTTCTTGCTCTCAAGGAAACAAATATCTAATCAAGACATTTCTTGACAAGGGTAGTGGAGGACCCTATTGTAAAAACTTTATTCATTGGAGGATTATGACAAAGATAAGGGGAAGTGGAGCCTGAGCTAGCATTCCATAGATTGATGAATTGCTAAATGGAGAAGAGGGAAAAGTCTTATGGAATGAAGGATCTCTTGAATATGAAAAAGCTAGAAAAAGGAATTCACGTCGACGTAAACCCCAGATAGGCTAAATATTAAATTATGGGAGCCATTTCATAATAGATACCTCAAATCTGGATAAACAGATAAGTGGAAGAGAAAAAATTAAAAAAAAATTTTTAATTTAATTGGACATTTTTGGAATGATCAGTATTAATAAAAAGCACAGTCAGAATTTAAATGGAAGGACATTTATAATAATTGCTATCAGAATTGAAACAAATCAAGATTGTAATTCGTAGTTGGGACTCTTTTCCAAATAGAGGTCCATATGGCATTCACTTAATAATAGATGATATGGATATACATCATCATGTTCTATTACATTAATAACTTATAATCCTTTTACAGAGAGAAAGATAAGGGAGAGATCCAATTAATAACCTAAGATTGGTCAAACTACATTGGTGTTACAAGAGGAAGAAAAAAGCTATTTCGAAAGACAAAGAAAGGGAAGAGGAATTAATCGAGTGATAAATGTAGTGAGATTTTCACATGTTAGAAAAACACCAGAAAGAATAGAGTAAAGGGAACAAAACTATAGTAGAAGAGAAGATGTCAGATGCAGATTCAGTTAGAAGTCAACCAATGATCAGTAAAAATGAAAATAAATCCGCAAGGTGGAGTCGCCTTTAAACAGAAGAGTGCAGTAGAAACAGAATTAATCTGAAGCAAGAGGAGTAGAAAAAATCTTTGATGAGATTAATACGGCTTTTATAAAAGCTTGAAAAGACATAATTATTGATTCTGGGTAATGTATTCCTAAACTGGGTAGGGACCTTTGTTGAAGAATACGGTTAATAATCTAAGAAATGCTTTGTTTATGGAAATCAAATAAAAGATAATTAGAATATTCAACTTCAAGGAACTACCAAATGATGTTATTGGAAGCCTGGAAGAAGAGGTATGGGGTCTTCCTTCTGCTGTTGGTTTTTATATCCAACATCGAAATTTTAGGTCTTTTTTAGAAATTACAATAACCCTTGTATTTTGGTAAAATGAATCGGTGTAAAGCAAGGAGGAATAAGTAATTAGAAGAAAATTAATGAAGATGAATTGAAAGCATTTTGGAAAAGATTATTAAACACCTTTATTATTCTTCGCCTATTTCAACCCCTTTTCATTGGAATAGCCGATTTCATCGTCTTTCCCAATAGGGAATCGTCAAAATTGTATTATTTCTAACAGCCTAGACCTTACTACTGGAGTCATATAGGGAGACAGTTATAGCCAGTCTTGACCAAACCCAAACCCAGAAAATCAAATTTACTACTATATCCTCTTAGCAGCGGTTAACTCATATAATTCTTTTGCTCTTGAAAATAATTTTTTGAATATCAATATATATCAAATTATTGTTTAAAAATTATTTAATTAATATTTATGTGCTAAAGAAGAAACTCTAACACAAGAATCAAAAAGTTCTAACTTTATTAGATGATTTTGCAAATGATCATTCTGATTTTAATGATTTGAAAAATTCATTTATTATTATTATAAATCCTTTTACATTCACTATAATTATAGAGACATTGTCATATCTGCTTTTACTTTGAAGCAAAGGTCATTGAAAATCGTTTTCGTTTAGAATCTAAATCCTTTCGTTATCGATATATTCATACCATATTTGATTGACTTACCTTTTAGTAGAGTTTAATTTCTACCTTCCCAATCGCTGATCCAACTTAAATAACACTGTTGTTTCGCTTTTCTTGAAACAGATCATTAATAAATAGAGTCTTTAGATTCTACAGACTTTTAATTAACTCACTTCAATTTGAAAATTTATGTTTAGCACCATAGTATTTTATAGGTTTTATATTGACAACATAAGGTATTAATGGTACTCTAGCTAAATATTTATACTCCTCAATTTGATTATTTTAAATTGGTTAAATAACTATTAAATAGAACTGATTGGATAATAATAATTCTTAAAATGATGATAGTTTATTCCAGGAAAGACCTGTCATTGATCTAGAAAGATTTAATCATGGAAGTAAGTTTTATTGATTAAAATAAATTAATATAATGCGGAGGGTAGAAAGGTTTTAGAAATATAAGAAAATCAAATGGCAATGAACTTTTTCAAAGTCCTAAATTAGGATTTTACTAATAATCCTATAATTTGGAGCTTACTTAAATTATATAGCAGCTAGTGATTGATAAAAGTTATCAATTTAGACTATGGATTGCAAAAATGGCTGAACTAATTAAGAAAAAGATATTCATATGAAAAAGGGCTCCAATACTTGCAAGTTACAGAAGAGAAAGTGAGCATTTTTTGTTGTTTAAATTATATAGTAATTTATCTTTTGAAGTTAAAAATTTTGCTAATTGATAGGCATTCCTAAATATATTTCTTAATTTTCTTTATTGCTGAATTTGATACTGAAAATTGTCAATTTTTTGACTCTTATAAATAAAAGTGCCATAGAGCAAAACATTCTAAGCATCGCTCACGAATTTCTTTGTGATCTTCTAGCAATCAGATTCTTTTTGTTCTCAAATAGATCTGATTTGAAATAGATAAGAAATTATTTAATTATAATTATAATTATAATTATAATTATAATTATAATTACTTATTACTTTTTTAATTGAAGCGATTGTAATAAAATAGATTTTTCAAATCAGAAAATCAAAGATAAATACCTATATCTCCAGTATTTAAATTTAAAGGGTAGTACTTCCCACTTTGTAATAATCAAATACTATTAATTAGAGGTTTCTCTTTGATTTAAGTGATGTTGTTCAATCTTTTTAGTAATTATATACATAATACTTCTGAGCTGGGATAGTGTATATACCTATAATGATATCAATTTAACATCCAATAAAATAATGGACGGATTATTGTTTTTAGTAAATATGATATATACTCAGATAAAGGCTGATAATAGAAGTCATGTATATTGTAAATATATATGATAGAATGAAGGCTAATATTTATAAAATACTTGAATTTGGGGTCAATTAATTGTTACATTATTAATTCCACTGCTTATTAGCTGTGTTTAACAAATATGAAATGAAGAGAGTTGAGTTAAACTTCAAATCAAATTCCCATATTTTTTATGAGGAAAATTATTTCCTAATTAAAGGTTAAGATATGATTATGATCCAAAATTGATTATGAATTTCAAGATTATTTAGATGATAAATTTTTATTCGAGTTTATTTAAATGGTGAATCAATTTAACTTGAGAAATCATTCATACATCAAGAATCGAATGTAGACATTCCAATACTATATCTTCGAGCAAGCCTAAATTTCCTGCCAAATGCCAAGTAAAAAGAACAAGACTTCTTCTTCTAAGAATAGAAATATCTAAAGAATCATTTTATGTCTCTTATTATCCTCTATCGTCAAATGTTTCAAGATTATCCAATGAATTTTGAGGAATGTAAGATTTTCCATTTTTCTTAGTTTTGAAAATTATCATGGATGAGGGTACTGGAGGTAGTCAGTGTCCGTAAAACTGCTTGATATTGTTGTATTGAATTTTCATTTTAATTCAATTTTGCAATAGAGAAAGGATGAATGAAATGGTATGAGGATTCCACTCGGCCTCAGATTTCTAATTTAGTGTGCTCTATAAGTTCTATTCAAAAGAAGTGTATAGGGAATTCAAAGACTTTTTAGACTAATATATCATCTTCTCCAATCAAAAGGATATTAAATGAAAAAGGGACCTAACAGCTTACTTTCTGGTTTGAAAACAAGTGATGAAGTAGCAAAACAGCATTCTTAGTTCCTGGAAGCATAATTAGAACTACCATAGGATATGAAAAATGTGAAAATGTGACTCAAAATTGCCTCTAAAGAATACGCTCGCTTTCAGTTGGTATTCTCTATAGACTCTGTTCATGAGCTGCTGCAAATTAGAGAACTTGTAGGAATAATACCAATATTATTGGAGTATTTCAAAGTTTTAATTTTTTTTACCAGAAAGCTCTAAGTGTGCATTCTTGTATAATAATCTCATTAATAATCATATATTTAAAATGGCAATAATATAATTTCTTTCATCCTAGTTATACAATAAACGATCAAAAGAAGAAACATCTTCTGATCATAGAAGAATAAATTTCTAAATAATTACTCATCACCTTGTTAGAAGTAAGAGAAATTTTTTACACATAAGCTTTACTCTTTAATTGCAAATATATTTCTTTATGAATGATAGTAAGATTATAAGTAATGTCATTTTTTGAATTGAATTTCTAAATACGATTTAAGACTATTTTTAGATTCTTGCTGAAATCCTAAATATTTTTCATTTTTTATAGAGATTGAACTGAAAAAGAAGAAAAATAAGTAACTGCTTAAATAATATAACAAACTTTATAAAATTTTTAGAAATTAAAGCAAGATTCTTCTTATTCATTTAGTTGAAATGATTGGATTGCAAGCGAGTTCATTCATATTGACTAAGCAGGAAATTAGCAAAGATTTTATATAATTAAAAGTTTTGTCTAATTGTAAAAGATTAGTTAAATGAAATTCAGCTGAACTAATTTAATTTAGAAAACGCCAATGATAAAATACATATGGAAGCAAATCAATATTAAGTTATCGGTAACAAGAAAGAAATGTACTAACCCAGTATTGCCTTCGCATTTATTGAAAACAGAGGCTCTTGCAATTTAGAGCAACATGAAAATAGTGGTGAATTTCTTGTAATGCACTAGGATGCAATTTATTTTTTTTTTGACCTCCTTTGACACTTATGATAGCAAGGTTTAAAATTACAATAAGCTGCATTTAATTGGATTATGAAAGCAGTCTTGATCTTAAATTACTATGAATTTATGATTTTTTGTTGTCAATAATAAAAACTTAGAGGACTAAATTATCAATAAAATCTCATTTAAAGCATTCCAAGTATAATAAATGAAAATAGATATATTATTGAAATTTGCATTTAGCAAATTCAATTTTATGAAAATTAAACACACATTCAAAAGGACTATAACTAGAGTTCTCTTATGATAAAATGATAATAATTTAAGAATTCTTAAGTTATTGAATGAAAATTAGAATCTAGTAAAATAATCTTGGCTTCAAAGTATTATATATGAGGCTTTCATTCAATAAATTAACCCTTCCAAGCCTACTTCGTATTTAATCATTTTTATTATGATTTGATTCAGTGAATACGATTAAAGTATAGCTAAGAAAATAATCAAATTGATTTTATCTTTCAACCTTTTTTACTATCCTATTCAATTTAATTAAAAAAAAAGTAGAAGCTAAGAAATTAAGTAATTTATCCAAACCTTTTTTTAATATAATTAATTTTTTTGTATTTTAAAATGGTATTCCTTTAATTATCACTAATTTTCACTTCATTTTCAGGTTTATATTTGAAACTTTATTCTATTTGATCGATATTAAAATATTTTACTTATTTCTCTAGTTGGATTTTGCTTACAGTTTATGTCATCTGTTATCCTATTCAAGGCCTATTCAAAATGATTTATTGTTAGTCATATAACTTCACAAAATTTACTATAGGAAGCGTTATTTATTTTTATATACTTGTCCTGTTGTTTACAAATTGCATCATTAATTTAATTAAATATTATTATGATCTTAATGAAATAATATTGGGAGGCTTTTAATTAAATATTAAACAATCAAAATTAAGATAATAGATTTGATTATGATTTCTAAACATACATATTATTTTAAATTAAATTCCTTACTTAAGGGTAATAAGGGTTAATTTTTACAAAACGAGTTAATCTCCATAGATCTAAATTTAAATAATTTAGATCTATATACTCTTATATATTTTCTTTCAAAATAATTAAGTTTAAGAGCAAGTTAAGACTTATTTAATTCCACTTAAAAGGTTTTTTATAATTAATGGAAAGTAATGGTTTGCTGATAAACAATAAAGATTTGACAAGGGGGTATTTGATATTTGAAATCGGATATATGTTTAAATAATAAATGATTAAAAAATAAACATTAAAAGTAACATTAATAATGCTTTTAGAATGTTTGAAACTTAATAAATATGAATTTTAATTTACAAAAGCAGCTCAAAATGTAAACTAATAAAGGGTTCTTCATGCTTCCATTTGAGATACTTAAGTGGCTATAAAATGAAACTCCTTAATAATCCTACAAACTTATCCTAAATTCTTATTAGAATTTTCAAGTGAAGTATTTTCCATTAAACCCAATATATTATTAATATTGAAGACTAGTTATTTGAGCTCTAACGAGAAAAACAGGGTATATTTCAACAAGGATTATAACACTTGTATAAATATAGAAAAAATAACGACATATGAACTAATTTAGGAAGTCAGCAATGTAATTGTTAGTAGGCTAAAAAGAAAAACTTGGACGAGTAGTTCAGAAACAAAATTAACCTTTTTTGGGCTTTTTATTTTGTAAAACTCATAAAGAATTTCAAATCCCCTCAAATGAAGAGGGAAGTGTACAACTTTTACAAAGCAATATTCTCTGCCTGTCCACTTTATAAGAGATAGAAGGTAAGTACAATTATATAGGCTAGGAATTTAACCCTGTATAAGGATATTCAAAGAGGTTAACTACCAAAATTTTGAATGAATAATGATTTGCCTGTGGAAATATTATTTCTGCTGATATTATGAGCTATTGATTTATTCAATAACCTAATTAAATGTAGAATAAAATTAATGAATTTAAAAGTGGAGTTACATTACACTTTACTGTTGGAAAAAAGAAGAAGAAAGATCAGGCTTCACAAAACCTGGTAGTATTGAATTCAAATTTGAAATTAGCAAGCTTTTTCATATTTTCTATTGAACTTTCACAAATCTCTTATAAATATATGATAAAAAAGAACTAACTATAAAATAATATTCTCCTTTTTTTTTAGAATAGCTTAAGGAAATTCTGTAAAATATATGATAATTCTCTGCCATTTTTGGTATTAAAAGAAGTTCATACTAGCAACACTTGGTGTCTTGTTTATATATTATTTCTCTTTAGAATCACTATCAAATATATAATTTTCTGAGTATTATTTAAGAATTAAATTGTTCAACTCATAAGAACAAATTCACTTTAAAAAGTCTACTTTCAATGCTCAGAGCTTTCTGCATATTGGCATATTAGAAAGATTTAAAATAACGAGAAAATATATGTTTAGCTTTTTTAAATTATTATAAATAAATAATTATTTTTGATTTAGGAATAATAGAAACAAAAAAAATAACTAAATATATAAAAGCCTTTTATAGATAGATGATAATTCTAAAGACTTCTTGTTATTGTTTTAATATATTTTGAAAATTATGGTCAATAAATATTATGATCATTCTTTTCCAAAATATTTGTAATTTCTTATCTTAATTCTTGTTCACTAGCGAATTGTTTCCTAATTATCTCTTTATTTGCTCTTATAATAAGACAATAATAAAATTTGAGAAATCCTAAAGTATAATAACTACCATTTTCCTCATATTTAAAATACTTCATCAATTTGACTGAGTCAGTATTAATTTTTTCATGATTGAATTATTGAATTGATTCCAGGGCTTATCTCAATAAATTTTATGTGTCCTTACTATATAATAAGGAATTTTCAGATCTAGATTTAGTTTATTTTATTACAATTATGCTTTTAAATAGTTTTGCGAATCATTGTATTCATCAATTTGGATTTCGTTATTTTGTTAAAATTATGCTTATTGTTGGATTGTAGTAGATTATTAAAAACTGGGTTACTCAATATTATCATTTGGAATAGGTGAACATGGAAATAGAGGTTTTTAATCATCTTGCTATTGATTAAATTTACTAAATTAATCTTATAGTTTAGGCTTTGATTCTGGATTTATGGTTAATTTAAATAATTTTACTGGCTATTATGTTTAGATGCCAATTAATTTGCTTGAATAAATTTCTAAAAAAGTAATTCTTTCCAATGGATTGTATACAATCATTCTTTCAATCATCTCCTAAAGATCACTGTTGATGTTTTAAGATTTGTCTTCTATTTTGATAGGATGTACCTTTAGGTTGTTGAAAAAGCTCCTAAATTCTAGCCATGTTGTTGGTCTAGATGGATATTAACCAAAAAGACAATAATAAAGCATCAACCCAATCTAGAATTAATCAATTTTATACTGGATAAACATCAACTTGACTTTTTCCTTTTGGAATCTTCTTTAATTACAATAATTTCTAATCTAAATCTGTGTCTGTTACCATATAATTAAGTTCTGGTGGTTCGAATAATGGAATGCCCACTTTCGTTAGATTACTTTTTTTTTGACATAAGTAAATTTTACTGCAGGATAGTTTATAAATTGGTTTTCCCTAAAAATCATAAGATATTAAGATTTCTCTAGGTTTGATGTGACGATGAATTATTTATTTTTAGTATAAGGGTAAATATCCATTTAACAATTACTTTAATATGTTTATGACTTCTTCAGAACCGAAATTACCTTTCTTCTTCAATTCATCTTCTAGATTAGTTACACATTTTTCCATAATAACTATTAACTTTTCCTGATAAGGCAAGCATAAATAAACTTTAACAAGATTTTGATTTGTGAGGTAAGCCGTGCGTAAGGTATCTATCATCCTCATTTCCTTCTCACATTTAGAATTATTTATTTCAAATGATGTAATCTTAATATGGAAGTTATAATTACTTTAGCACATAATGTTTCTTTTGTTGTAATTTTTGTGCAATCCACAAACACACCATAGGCTACTCTACTGATTACTCTTTCTGTATGAATGATAAATTCATCTATGGTAAGTTCCATTGTGTCTTCGTTATAAGAAAATAGAGACATTAATATAATGTTAATAGAAATAAAGAATTTTAAACTTTTATATATGAGATTAGAGATGAGATTCTATCAATATCATCATTAATTAATTATAACCAGCTGCAAATGGGTTATTCTGAATTTTGTGTTGTTTTTATGTCTCATTACTATTTTTTTATTTCTTTTTATGCTAAAATAATTTAGAAATTTTCTCAAGTCAAAAGATTTTCATTTTTTTTATTTATTAGTCCTGATTCATAAGGTAATTATTTTATTTCATTTATTTGATATTAATTATAGTTACTTTTTTAACATATAAGTACAATTTGATTTCTAAATCTAGCAATGGTGAAATTCTCGATTTTATCTTCTATTTAGGTTTGATATTATTCAAATAAGAATGCTTTTGTTGAAAGAATTCATCTTATAAAGAATCATATTGATATGAATATGGGATTTTAATCTTAGTATTTCTACTATTAAATTGTCTATTGTTCTCTTTTATAGATACCTGCTAGTAACTAAATTTTATTATTGATTTAATTAATTAAAATTTATATCTATTACATATGTGTGCCTGCTTCTTTTATTTTTACAATATCTAATACAAAACAGGTTAGATTTATAACTTCATTTTTGGTAAAATTTCACTACTAAAGAGAATTATGTTTAATAGTTAATATATTAGTAATAAATAAATCTGTTATTCTCAAAAGTTTCCACAAGAATTACTTATTATAATATCATTATAAAATCCTGAGGAATATAGGCGTTTGTAGATGAATATCAACATTATTTGAATTTATATATATTGAAGATTAGTTAATAATTATTAACAGCGATATTCTATAAAAATTAGTACATTAAATAGTTTGCCAAATTTTAATATTAATAATTTAAAAACTATTTTATTTAAAATAAAAAAGAAGGGAGCACCTGAGACCTACAGATCTGCAGTCTGCTGCTCTGCTACTGAATTATACTTTCTAATTCACATTTATTCAAACACACTAGTTATATGTAGAGATTGCAATTATTTACCATTTTTTCTTTGCTTTCAAATACAAAATTATTCTCATTTATATAAAGGCAGTATCGATGGCTTCTCCTATAACTTTAAATTAATCAAAATTAAAAAATACATAAATTTATTATAAGTGTGCTGCCACTAGAGATGGTTGAAAAACTATCATTTTTAATGAATATTAGTTTTAAAAAGATATCTTTTAAAATTAAGTATTATAATGATTAAATGATTTTTGTATGATTTCAGTATGAGTTATAGCATATTAGAATGAATTTTGAATAGTTGAACTTTAATATGATGTAAAGGATTAAGCAATTAGTTTTCAAAGATTTAATGATATATATAACATAAGTTCATTCATATTCATTATTTTCATCACAGTTGTTAATTCTAATAGCTATTCCTACATTACTTTATTTTTTAATATCAAAAGAATAAAATTCGCATTGATTAATTAAAAAGGAGCATCACTTACATTTTTAAATTGACTAAATTATATCTCTAGTTATACTAATTCTCATGCTTAATAAGGTAGAAGTAATTAATAAAGGAAATAAAAAATACATAAAATCAAATCCTACTGCAATGTTGCAAAGACAGAGAATAGAATTTATAAATTTTACAAAAAGTAACAATTTAATAGAATAGTATTCCAATTTCCATTTGGTAAGTATAATTGGAACTTCAAAATCTGATATATTTTGGAAAAGCAAATCTGTTTTAGATGATTGGAGTAGTTGAGTCTGCTGTAAATATTTCAATAAATTGATGATTAAATTTTTAAATGTTAGATTGTAGTATTTCATAAATGCTAATTTTGAGCATATCAAGCAGATTCCAGAAAATTTCTAAATTGCCAAACAAAATACCAATTCCACTTACAATTTCTACTTATAAAAGCAATTTTTACAATAATAAATTATTGATCATTAGACAGTTTGTTAGGAGATATTAATGATAACTTTGCTTCGTTGGAGTATAAAGTTTTGTCTTAAATATTTATATTATTATCACTCTCAATAATTACCTTGAAAATATAATTTTCAATTTTTCTTTCATTGTAATAGAAAAAATTGGTTTAACTTCAAAATCATGTTCGTTATCTTTGGTACTTCAATAACAACTAACCAATCCTTATTACATTTAATCGTTTCTATTCTGAAATTGAAAATTTGTATGTTTGATTTTGAGAGTTTATGAAATATAATTTTAGGTTGAATAATGTCATTACAAACATTAATGTTATTTTCAAAATGAAATTTCCAATTCCTACACCTATCATTATTTTGAAGATTTCCTTCATTACATTTTTCTTATTCTTAAATTAAAAATTCATCCCCATAAACATTAAGTGATTAAGATCCATCTTCTAAGTTAACCTCTAACATTCTACACATAACTCTTACAACAATATTATTTCCATCATAACACAATTCCTTTCAACTATATACCTATCTCAACAAATAGAAAATGCAAGCTACATGTGACAATACCCACCCTTTCTTATAATAATCTTAAAATATTTCAAAATTACAAAGATTACATCCTTATTGACATTTTACTTCGCATTTATAGCCACCATCATAAGGTAAATAATTACCATCGTCACATTATTCTTCCTTGCTAGAGATAATGCCATCTCCACAAAAATCAATGCATGAATCAAAAAGCATCTAATTAGATTTTCATTCCAAATTCATTCTCCATTTTCACTACCAGAATATTTAACTGTACAATATGGCAAGTATGAATTGTATTCTATATATTTGGTGAGAGTAACAGATGCAGTTTAGCAAGTTTTGGTATGAAAAAAAAAAAAAATTCGTCATCAATCCAAGCTCAAGGATTTTGATAGATATCAAAGGTACAGCTATCAATAATATTAACATCTTGGCAAGATTTCTCGAAATACATTAATATCCATCAGTGACGCATCTCTTGTCTTCAAACATAGAAGCACATATATACTCTATAGCATATTTGTAATCAAAGAACCCTTTGATAAGACAAACTGCTTTTTAATTAGTAAAAAGGAACACTATACGCACTAAATGAGATTAGGCAAGTGCAGGTCCATTCTCACATATCCTTTCTAAGCAAGTAGTTTACTCCTCATCCCAGAAGCAATAGACTTCACTTAAATTCTTTTGCTCATCAATCTTGCATTATTAATAAGTTTATATTTCGTAGAACATTTAGTGGAGTAGTGGGATAACATAATGTGGATAATTGCCAATAGTAACTATAACTTTTCTAGCAATCAGATTATGTTTTGTTATCAATACAATATTTGGATTGGCAAGAAGATCTGTACCATTTACAATTTGTTCTATTTGACTAGGTTTTGAAAATTATACATTAAGGTAGCGGTTTTTTAATAGAATTAGGAAAGATTCTCATATATTTTTCATTGTTAGAGAAGTAATGTAAGATAATTCACAAATGGGACGTTTAGGTACTGGGATCCTTGCACAATAAATGTAATCAATTTTTCAATTTGTAGCATGCATATTCAACACAGACATAATTGTAAACAAAGTGATCAGGAGTTAATAATGATCAAAATAGCATGAACTACACTGAGAACTTTCAAGATATCCGTTTAATTAACCACTCTTAAATGGTATGTATATTTCATAAAGTGAATGCATTTAATGAATAACCAGTGTAGCATACTACATTTAGCAAATAAGAATGGCGTATGTATCTAATAGCAAAATTTCAATTCTATGTGATGGATGCTAATGATGTAATTAATTCTTCATCTGAGGCTCTTGTGATTAACTTACTAGTGAATAACTTCTATGGCCTATTCTAGAATATTCTATTTATCAATTAGAGCCTCAAAAACCTGGTAAACACGTACAGCAAAAATTTATTTCTAGATTCAGGAGTTGTTAGTTTATACACACCATTTGTATCTCCTCATTAAAGCACAAAAATAGAGTTGAAAAATGTTCACTCACCACCAAATTGAAAAACTATAGAAATGTAATTCTTATTGTTTATATTGTGGTGATAGCTATACTATAGCATATTATGCATTATTTATTTGATGTACTCCAGTCCTCTTGGATAAATTTTCTTTTGTTTTTCCTGAATTGAATTTTAAATGGAGGGTGGCTTCCTGTATCTTATGTTCAGTGATTGCCCATCATATCATGAGATTAGTACTTATTTTCATTAATCCAAGACTACTATTGATAACTCCTTAATCCACTAAATATAAGCAGTTCATCATGGTTAATATTTTGAGCCAAATGGTGGCATAAAGATAAGTAGTCTAGTTCCAATTGTTATTATGAAAGATGATTAATATCTTCATCACTTCTTTCTTGAATACATTTATACAATCAGGTAAATACTCAATTTTCATTATTAGAAGGAACAAAAAAAGGTAATTGTAATATTATTTTCCAAATTTACAACATTACAAGGTTTTAGCATTAAAGCAATGAGTCATTTTTACTCACTAGTTAGTTGTTAGTACTTAATTGAAAACTTAGTAATCATAGGGAGATTAAAACATTAAATAGCATCAGCAGATATAAAGAAAAAGTAAACTCTTAAGTAATTTTCAGTGACGCTGAACTTGCAAGTTTGGCGTGTAGTTGATGTAGATATCCAGTATATTCACTTTTTTTTACAGCTTATAAAATACCTTAGCGCGCATTTGCAACATTGTATCATTTTAGCATAAACTTGATTAAATATGTTAGTTTTGCATTGAAGGAAGGGCAACTATCAAATAAGTTTGGCGTTAATTTCTGTAAGTTAGGCATGTTAAGGAGCAAGCTAAAATAGCACTCTTGTGATTTTCAGACATAATCAGTATCATAAGTACTACATGTTTTTTAGGTCTTCGAAGAAGTGCAAAATTCATAAATACATTGCTGAATTTATTTCAAGCAAATAGATCTGAAGCTAATTCACATATCCCTTCTACATCACATTCAAAAATAGAATAAGAAACAAACTATTATTGATAATTATAGTAATAAGAGGCTTAATAAAAAGAATACAATATGGCTCGACTATAAAACATGACAAATTCTTAACTATAACAGTTTGTATTAATATCTTTAAGATTATTAAATTATAGTAATTGATCCTTATGGTTTATGTTTAAGCATAGTAATCATAAAAGTCAAATATTAGTCAGTGTTAGCAGCATAGATGATGCAATATTTGGAGCAAAACAGTACATAAGGCATAAAAATTCTGACTTGATCTAAGTACCTTTTAAAGTGCATCGTTTTACATAACTCTCCAAATTTTCCAGAGAACAAGTATAGAAATTATCCACAATAATAACTAAGATATCAAATTAAGTAAGTTGTTGCATATTGATCAAGTTATACTCTCTAATTAATTATATACCATTTCTAAATGCATTCATACTTAAAATACTGGGCTACCTATAATAATAGTAGAAGCTTATAGTTTTATTTACTCCAGCTTTAGTTTTGAACCAATATTTTTATATTTTATTATTAAAGTTGACTTTCAATCCTTTTTTGATACTTCCAACTTTTATTTTTAGTTATAAATCCACTGGATAGATTAAGGATTGATGTTCTAGATCCATTTCTGTCCTCCAATTTGAAATTCAACAATGATTAAATTTGCTTGACAGTCATAAAAATGTAACAGCCAAAAGGTATGTAGTTGCTCCATATTAGAAGCAGTAAGAAGAGGATTTTACTTAACGCAGGTTGGGATTAAAATAAAATTAAATTGATTATGATGAATAAATTCTTGGCAATCATCATTGCAGGGATATCTGCATAGAGTTGCTTATATAAGGTATGCTTTAGCAAACAAATTTATATAAATGAAGATGGTTTTGCTTTTTTGCATTCCAAATCTAAAATTGTTTGTATTTTATAGTTGTTTTTCAATTGATATCCATTAGTTGTAATTACAATAATATCGAAAAACGCATTCTTAAATTGTTTAAATTTATTAATTAAGGTCCATTTCTTAATTGATTCAATAGGTATTTCCTTCAATCACTTTTGTTCAATTGAATATTGAAATATAAATAGCAAATTCTGACCTCCATTATTTTAAGTAATTCTGTTCATTATAGAATAATATTAGCCGAATATTTGCCTGCAATCCAGTCTTATTGGATAGAATAAACAATAATTATAGAGTAATACTAATATCTTAAACTAAATACGAAATTGTATTTAACTTTTGCAGAAAGATGATAAAACTTGGGCAATTAATGTTCTCAAAACTTAATAAAAAAACTTTACTCAAGAATCTGTAGATGCAAGTTGAGTCAATCATTACGTAGGATGATTTGATGCACAAATATTCAAGACTTAAATGCCAGATAGGAAATTAATACATCTATTGAAACAATAAAAATAAAGATATTTTGCAGAACCAAAAAAGAAATTCAAAAGGAGGGAACTTAGGCAAAAGTAGTAACAAGAAATTAAAAGAATTATAATTATGAATCAGATAATTCAAGTCGAGAGTTTGATATTATAATTACAGCAGAGAAGATGATGAAATAAATACAAAAAAAAAGGAAATATAAAATCTATTTATTTTTAAATTATTATTTACAAACCCTTCTACATCCTTTACCCTTTCAACTGGCCAAAGACTTACTTTTCCTTTTCATTCCAACCTGTAACTTGATTCTCAAAAAATTTATAACTATCCTGTTCTCTCATAAAATTCTTAAGGCAATTCTAATTTTTTACCATTAATCACAATTTTCCTTGTTTTCTAAATGTTGATAATTTTTAAATCTTTTTTAAATTCTTATTGATAATTTTTTGGTTCTTCTTCTTTGATTTTTCCTTAGCCTAGATTAAACTCCTCTTTCAACCGTTTCTTAATTACTCAAAACAATGTATTTTATCTTCAATAGTCCAAATAAAAAATACTTTAAAGAATTTTAAAGATACATAATCTGAGCTTCCCTTTTCGGACATATTTTAAATAATAATAATTTGCAAAATTTATACTTGAAATATTTTATTTTATAAAATGGTTACATTTGGGTTTTATTAAACCACTTAAAACTTCTTAAAATTATTCATTAAAATCATTAAATGAATGAAAGAAGGATAATGCTGCACAATAAGCACAAAGAACATTTAATGTATTTAAATATAATCAATTATTATAAGGAGTAAACGAACATCATAAGTGATAAAAGATATTGCATAAAATTAAATGATTATGTATTTTAAATAATAAGCATAATACATACTTCACTGAAATAATACAAGTCGATGAAAATAATATATAAACTATTCTAATAATTATGGAATGTTGAATTAAAGTCAACTTACTAATTTTGTTGCATCTGATTATCAAGAATTTATATTACTTTTAAAAGTATAAGAATCTTTACCTCAAATGCAAACAAAAAGTAGTTTTCGATTTATGCTTCTAGTCTTAACCTTCCTTAAAAATCTAGAAGCTACAATATATTCTATCTTTTCAAAAATTTTATTCTAAATTTTGTTGGAGTACAATGAGAATGCTGTTGCATCTTTAAAAAATTAAAATCTCTAAAAATTCATATTGAAAGAGGAAAGCTTTATTAACAAATAAAATTGAAAATATTGTATGACAAAACTACTTTAAGCAAATAATAAAACACTCAAATCTATTCTAAATCACAATTATAAAAGATTTAAATCAAGAGCCAATTAATTAGATTACTATCTGAACAGATATTCTCTTATTAATCCTGTGAATTTCTTTGTTGCTATATACTTATTTGATTCATTTACTACTTTATTAGGTTAACACCTTTTTCAATTTTTAAACTTTCTTTATCAATATCTTGAATTACTTAAATTATGATCCTCAAACCAGATAAAGTCTTTGACTGTTTTTGCGACAATAATGTATTAATTTGAATTAAAAATAGTTGTATTTTCTTTTGATAATTAAAATTCCTAACATTTAAGAATAGTTAAATGAATAAGTTATTTAATTAATTTTATTTTATTCATGAATTAAAAAACGATTATTTTTTGTAAATAATAAAGTTATTAATAATCTCAGCATCTCTTATGCATCTATACATAAACTTATCAATCTTTTGACCCTGAATTACAAAATAACACTCATTTAATAACTTTTGATTAATTTAAAAATTTGCTTCAAATAATCGGTAAATTCTTAATCAGATAGTCTTATAATATGAATATGTCTAAAATTTAACTTATAACCAAAATAATTAATGAAATCTGCTTGCTCACATAATGATGTGATTTTGATTAATAATTAATGAAAATAAAGTCTACTTCCACATTTATCTAATTTTTGTATTTTTCTATACTTTTTCTAATCCAAATAACAATATTCCCTAATAATAGCTGTTTTGAAACACAAAAAAATCAAATCAAGAAAAATGATTTAAAGGAGATTCAAAAAAGCTTAATTATTATATAATAAAAATGTAAATCTTTTCATATTTTTTGCTTGTAATATTTGTAGTTTACCAATCGATGTGCTGTTGGATTATGGAATTACCAAATATTTACCCGCTTAAAACAGTTTCAATGGGTATTGGGGTTGGAGTGTGGAGTAAATATGTTCCACTTAGTAATGTAGAACAAATTGGAACGATTGGAATAATTGATAGTAGTTGTTTTCAATTATTTAGAATATACGATAAGGCCAACAATTAATTACATTTTATACAATATGAATGCATTGATTATGAGAATTAAATAATCAAGAAATATTTTCTATTTTTTGATAAGGAAGTTGGATATATTAGAGAAGAGATTCTCATAGATTATACTTAATATGAATCTATTTGGTATTTTAATGGATTCTTTCCAAATCCTTCAAAATAAGAAGTCATAATATATTTAATGGAAGGAATTAAATAACCATATTAAAAATCAATTTAAATACAGTTTTTAATTGATATATAAAAAATTGAACAAATAGTTGGAGGTGATTTCATTGTACCCCAAAATATTCCACTTCAACTTTTTGAAAGAGATATCCTATCCTATTTTCCAGGAGAAATTATGTATATTGAAGGATGTTATATATCATCCTCTAATGTTTTTATTAATTTCTTCTAAAGTATCCATTATAATGAATGTTAATGTCAATAAAGTTTAATAAACAGCATGCCTGATGTAACAATAGAGAAATAAAGTCAATATGAATTTGTATCACAAAATATTAATTGTTAGGAGTTTTTATTATCAGGTTGGGTAAAAATTTCAGAAATTTATTCATCTGATGATGAATTCGAATATCAACTTATAAGACTATCTGGTAATTTTTAACATTCCCAATTAATTCAAAAAAATCTGTGTGCATTTTAATTATTTTACAGGATCTCCACTAGTTAAAACCAAATTATTATAACTACATATAGCTACACTATTCCTTCAGTCTCTATAGACTTTTCAAGCAATCCTTTTTTAAAGTCTGAATCACTTGATGTAACTTTTGATATTAAATTATGGCATTTTATATTAGTAAAGAAATTAGAAAATTCTATATTGATTTCAATTACCTTTTATAACGGTCTTGATAAGGAAGAATTTAATATAAACCTCGATGTTTTACAGTTTAATAAAATGTAGTTTAAGTTATTATATGGTAATTTATTATAATCTTCATCCAACTACCTTAAAATATCAATTGTTGGGTTCCAATTTTTTAATTGTCTAGACTATTATTAACCATCAATAAGTTGCCACCTAACTTGCAAGGAATGCGATGGTCCAACAAAAGACGATTGCTTATCATGCTTTGAAGATTCAAATAGAAGATATTTAGCAGACTATAAGTAATGTATTTGTGAATATGGAACAGTTGATGAGAATAATAAATGTGTTGATTATGAAGATTTAAACCTTCAATTAAATTAAGGAAAACCATTGAAAGAAGAATGCAAATATGGTTTTTTCGAAATTGAAGGTGATTGCTAATAATGGTATTATTTTCATAATTATTAAGCCCATCAATAATAAATAAAAATTTTATAACATGTTTGGAATGTGTATTGAATCCTAAAACATGGGCTCAAACTCTTATTTGCTAAACAACATTATATACAAATAAAGAAGGAAATGTATCATAATAGTTGGAGGTAGAAAAATAACAATTTATTTTTTTGGGCGATGATATACAATACTGTCCTGATTGCAAAGCTACAGCGACTCCATCATATGATTAAATTGAAAAAATAGATTAATTTAAAGATACTTGTCAATCAATAAATGAAAATTGCTATCCATGTGGATCAAATTGTTATGAATGTGAAATCTTACAGACACATTTTAATTGCTTAACCAAGCTAATCGGACGCCCTCCTCTTCAAAAAGCATGCTAACCTCCACAATATTAAAACTTTGAAAAAGTTTGCGTAGACTGTAAAATAAAAAATTGTTTATATTGTTTCAATTATTTTGCAAGTGATCCAACAAGGACTACTTTAGGCTTTTTAGAAGATTATTCTTTTATTGATAAAAAAATTTAAGATGGAAGTTACTCTCTTATTGATGAAGAAATTGTAGAAGGATGTGCTTAATGTGCTGAAGAATACATCTTTGATTTCACAATTAAAGAGTGTATTTTTAAGAAGCCATCTTAATAAAATTGCCTCAAATCCTATATTACTTTTGAAAAGTAAGAAATTTGCACTCTGTCTGCAATTGATGATTTTAATATTGCTCTTGAAATTGCAAATTGTTAATCCCATCTTCTTAATTGTAAATAGTGCATCAAAACTCCATAATCTACTCTTAAGTGCATACTATGTGAGGATTATTATATTGTTTCTACCATAACAGGAGCTTGTAGTTTTTGTGGTTACGAATAGTCCAAATAATGCTTTGAAGATAATGGTTTAGATCCTTGGAAATGGTTTGTTCAAGGTTTTACAATTTAATTTTTACCTAATAAACCTATTTTTTATAACTATATAAAGACTCGAAAAACTTTAATCACTTAATGCATGCCAGGTTATAAAACAATAAAAAATTCTTGTCAACAATTTTGCGATTAAATGTGTTTAGAATGCAACAATATTGCTTTTGACTTTTAATGTTTCAAGTGCAAATTAGATTATTATTAAGATCCAATAAGAAATTAATATAATGGGATATGTTTTCAATGTTCCTCATTATGCCAAGTTTGCGAAAGTAGACAAAATGAAGAAATAAATGTATTTAACCTTAATAAAATAGAAAATAAATCCTTATTTTGTCACAACCTCACAAAATATTATGTACACTTATAGATGTCTTTAAAAAGTTCCTCTTGAACAAATTCAAATTGATCCAAATTTACAAATTGCATAATATTGCTATTAAAACAATTGCCATAATAGTTTAGAATTATATAAGGTAAACAATTATTTAATTTAGGATAATTCTTATTGTGATGTTCTCTAAACTTATAATTAATTCAATTAATTGTATTATCAATATTTTAACAATATTGGTCTTAAGGAAATGACTATTACATTAGAAATAATAGAATCCTGCTTTATAACAACGTTCAATCTCACTCTTTAGAATGATTATAGGGAAAATATTTTTTCTTTACAAATAGCAAGATTAAAGATTTAAGGTAAGGTTTCCACTTTTCAACCCAGAAAACCATTTACTTTAAAATTTTTGAATTATGATGCTATACTCTTAACTAATATCATATTTAAAATTTTCTCATCTTTAGATTTGATATTTCAAAACAGGGGCAACCCAATAGATATGAAGTTTGTGGATATTTCATTTTTTTAAACTACAGATAATGCATCATCATTATCTATTCAAGAAGATAGTTTCCTTAATTTTAATATGAAAAATATATTAATTGTTGGTTGCAGTTTTGAAAATTTAGTTGTATTTAATATTTATTGCACAGATTTGGGAGACACTATTATAATTGATAATTTTAAACTACAGAATTTCAATTTTATAAATTCCACTTTATTTTAATTTTAAAACGCTTAACGAACCATTCTATTTAAGAATGTTATTATTGATTCTTGTAAATTTTATAATTCATCAATCTTTCACTTCGCATTGACTCAAGAATAATTTTCAAATGTCATAATTAATGACGTTTAAATATCAAACTCACTATTTTAAAACACAAGCTTTATTTACAGTAATGAGAGAACAACTTTTATTATCAATAATCTTTCAATTGTAAAAAATAAGATGATGAATTCAAAATTCATTATATTTAATTATGAATTTAATTTTAAGGATATTTTAATAAAGGATAATGATTTAATATCATATTAATTTATTTCATAAATCTCATCAATCATTGAAAAATATGATATTTAGTTGAAATAAATTTAGATCTAAAGAAATGTTATTAATAATTTTTAAATATTTGTTACAGAATAAAAGTAAACAAAAAACATATACTAATATATTGTTAAATAACCTTCATTTTGAAGATAATGTTATGCTCTCTTATTAAGAATAACATCTTATAATAATTAACTGCTTAAATTTAACTATCTAAAGCACTTTCATAAAAAATACATTAAATTATCGTTTTTTTTCCTTAATATCTGTTCCTTTGATTAAATAGAAAATTTATTCTATGAAAATTAAAACCAAGAACAAAAAATTTAACCTTCATCAGAATGTCTATAAAAAGAAAATTAGATGTTTCATTCATAATTATTATAGGTTTCTGGGTTTATTGAAATAACTCTAAATTTAATTCAACTTAAAAATGTATTTAGTATAGATCAATCAATAATTTCTATTTAATCAAATCCATGGATTATGTTAAATTCAAATGAATATATAAAAATTGAAAACCTTTTTGTTTTTGGAAACATACTAATCAAATAATAAGCAGGAAAATTATTTTCTATAATTGAATTATAATCAGAAAAACCTTAAATTATTGATTTAGATAAATTACACTTTGAAGAGAATATTTTTCATTAATATAATAAGGATCCTTCTGAAACTTCAGCAAGTCTCTTGTATATCGATTCAGGGTTAGGTCTTTTAAGGATGAAAAATATCAATTGCGCTAATAATTCTCTAACAAATTCTTCCCTCTCATATATTTCAATTTTTTCTGATGAAATATCGATAGAAAACTTTTATGTCCATAATCATAATTACCACAATCAATAGTTTTGGATGAAATACTATAAAATTTAATTTCAAGGCAATTATAATTAAAATGAAATTACTAATATTATTTCTCAATCATATAATATCGTAGCAATAGGAGGAGCTTTATCAACAACGGTGACTAAATTTACATTTAACAATGGTTTATTTAGTTATATTTAAACATAAGGTAGTCAAGTTTTTAACATTAATTTATAAGGAGATGGAATAGTGGTTATATCAGACTGTATTGTTAATCACGCTCATAATTCATTAATTTCAACATTAGAATAAAATGGAGCTTTTACAATTAGTGGGAAGAAAAGTTTGTTAACACTTTATCTTAATAATATTATTTTAACAGATGTTTTAAATAAACAATCATCATCAATCTTTTCAATAGATCCATCTTTTTCAAAAAATAATCTTGAATTTAAAAATATTGTTGCTAAGGATTGTTTCTCTCTTGTTGATTAAATGTTGAGTTTTAAATCTGATTCTCAAACCATTTTATAGAACAATGTGAAAATAGAAAATTTTACAATTATTTATACTGAATAAGGCTTTTTAACTTTTATTTTATAGATTGGTAAACTTAGTTTAGTTGAAAGGCAAAAACTTCTTACTGATAATGCAATAATGAATTTTGCTGGATGCAAATTAACTTTGAATCAATTAAAAATAGATGGAATCATTTTATCATCAAATAATGGATTCAAAATACATCAAAATTACAAATTCCAAATTCATTAATATTTAAACATTTTATCCCTTAAATTTATTAGAAGTCTAATAAAGCAATGACATGTAATCAAAGGTACATTTTTAAAATATTACGATATAAAATCTTCATGATTTTAAATTTAGTAACCTTATTTCATATTAATTTAATGATAATTATATTGATCTTGATTTTCCCTAATGCAGTTTTAAAATTAATTAAGTAATAATTCAGATTGATCAACATGATTTGGTATCGAAAATTTTTCAGGAAATAATTTCTAATTCGAATTAGAACGGATCTTTGATTAAATTGTAAAGCATCACGAATCAAGCTCAAGTTTTTTTTACTAAAATTCAGTTATTTAATAATGATTGTTAAAATTGTTGGAATGGCTTACTATATTTTGAGTTAATTGATTTCTAAAAAGCTCTAATCTCAGAACTATCGTGCATTATGAACTCCATTAAAAATTATGGTTGCATATTGGCAAAATCAGATACAAAGATAGGTAGCAAAATATAAATTTCTAATTCAATCTTCATTTCAAATAAGGGACAGTTAGGAGCAGGAATGTTTATCTAAAATTAAAAATTTGATTTAAAAAATTCCATTCTTTTGAATAACACAGCGACATAGATAGGAGGTGGTTTCTATTTTTCAGAAGGTTCCTAAAGATTTACTATAATTAATTCTTTAATTTGTAATAATTAAGCAGCAGAAGCAGGAGGAATATATTTATTTGGCAATAGCAGTTTAACTAAAAATAATTTTATTAAGTCTCTTATCTTGTTAAATTTTGCTAACACATCTTTAAATAACATCAATGAATTACCTTAACATTTGAGTTTGTAAATCAATCTAGTGGAAATGTTGTCACAATAAAAATTAATTGAAAGCCGTTAATATGAGGTCCTATATTTAAAGCCTTACAAAATTATATCCTAAGATCACTCTTAATAAAAAAATGTCTTATTTATCCCTAGCGGTCAAGAGCTATAAAGTTATGAGCTTTATAATCCTAAGCATTAAAATTACCAAAGTTATATATTTGATTTAAGCATTCTGTTTAAAAACAGTATGAATGAAGTATTAATCAACCTTGAAAATTCAACTTGCAATGTAGAATTATAAATATTTGACACTACTGAGAATTTAAGTAAATCCATTAAAACGTCCAAACTGACTTTTAATTAAGATACTAAAGGTTTTAACCTTGGTTAACTGTAATTTGAAATAGATCCATATAAGTAGGAAAATAAAAATTAAGAAATTTTAGTCTATTGCAATACTCAATATTAGGATGATTAATTAGCCTATAGAATGAAAGTCAATAGTTTCATGTGCTAATTAGGAGAATTCTATATTTATTCTGGATGTCAAATATGTCAGCCCTTATAGGGATTCTATTCTGTAACATATAACGCTACAAAATGTTCTATTTTTGATAAAAATAAATTTGATGCCATTGCTTCAAATAAAATTAAACTCAAAGCTGGGTTTTGGAGGCCTAATTAAATTTCAGATTATATAGAATTATGCTTTAAAAATCCAACATATTGCCAAGGAGGATGGACATTTGGAAATGACCTTTGTACTTAGGGACACCTTGGAGGATTATGCGAAGAATGTGATCGATATGATATAAGAGGATCTGGATCATTCTTTAAAGATTAGAAGCAACTAGAATGTAGATAATGTGAAGAATTTTCGAGGTTATTATTGACCTTTCTATTAATTTCTATTTGGTACATAAAATGTAATTACTGTAGGGCTATTCTTTCTACTTTGTTAACCATCAGAAGTATTGAAAAATCCAATTAACTATTTGCATCACTTAAGCTGAGATAAAAATTTGTGGAAATATTATTCAAACTTAATTAAGGTAAATTTTAATATTTATTTAGATCATGAAAGTATTTTACTTAAATTATTTCTAAACTACTTATGGATTTTTCTCTTATTTTTACATTTAATATTAGGTTATCATTCTCTTTGAATTTTTTAAAATAATCGAGTGATACATCTTATTTTATGGCAAACTATTTTGAGTGTATTTTGGCTGAAATTTAAGGCATTGAGTTAATTTACAGTAGAATCTTGGTTATGTTTGTGCTATTATTTGCTTAGGTATTAATAATCTATATTGGATTTAATGTTGTATCCATTCTAACAAAAACTAAATTTAGGATGAGAATCATATCTATTACATTTTTATATTTGTATATCTAAAATTAAGCATCCTTGATTAATTAGTAAATTAAATTTATAAGTATTAGATTTTTCTCAATTCTGGCGGTTAGGAAAATATCAAATTAAGACTATATATCTGGTGATGTGTCCTTGAAATATGGGTCAGAAGTCATATCTTATGGATCTAAGAATTTGCAATTCCAGGAACTACATTGATTGGATTGATCATACCCATATTGTTATTTTTAATTTTGTACTTAAATAGAGAAAACCATAACAAGATAAAGTTTAGAAGACATGTAGGATATTTATTTAATGAATACACTCAATAAAACTATTTTTGGGAAATGATCAAATTATGGAAGAAAACGATTATTATTATTATTCTAATCTATTTTGAAACTGACATATTTTTGAAAGCATCATTATTGGGGTTGTGTTTATTGTTTTACTAATTTATTGCTTAGAATTATAAGCCCTTTATTCTTTAGAAGTTTTATTTATTGGATATTCAGAGCGGTCAATATTGTTCCTTTGCCTTAATTTTTGCAGTGGTTAAATACATATGTGAATAATCAGAATAATATAATTTTTCAACACTGATTCAAAGCTTTATATTTATTATCAGCATTTTATTGAGTTACCCATTTATTATTAATATACTAAAAGTCTATTATAATAAATATAAGTTTCTAATTTTAGGTTCATTATTTTAAGGTTTTAAATCTTTAAATCCTAATTTTAAATTCACTAAGCTTTTGGGGGAAAAAATTTCAAAATTGAGATAGAAGGAAGGAAGGACGCAAAGGAATATCTAAAAATTGAAGTCTTTACTTTTAAAGAAAAAATAGGATGGCCAATTGTAATAAATTTAATTTTATCTTAGGGGGATTGTCAATTTTGCGAAAAATAATATGCAAAAAAAGAAATAAATATCATTAATCCTAAATTGCAGTTTCGGAAATAAAATTTGAAAAATTAGCAATATATACATAAATTTAATTCTATATTAAACAATAATCCTATAATTAGACCTTCGACTTCCAAATACTTCTATCAAACCCAATAGTCTAATACTATTTATCTTGTGTTCTTAACCATTTAGTGATTGATGTAAAGATAATTTTATTTATTTATTAATAGAGGGAGAATACATAAATGATATAAGGTAAGGATATTAGAAGTTGATATATGAAAATAAAGAAATTTGATAATAACAGATATATATCAATTGGCTTAATTCCATTTCTGATGTTAATCATTTTTTCTATTATACAATTCTTCTTCTTGGTGATAGTTTCCTCAAAGACTTCTAAGGCATCTGGAATTATAGAAATGAATTTCTTTGAATAGATAACTATATTATATATCTAAACAATAGAAATTAAAAATGTTGATTTTTTAAACTTTATCAATAATTTAATTTTTTATCATTACTCTTAAAAATTTATTGTCTAAAATTGAACTTATTATATCAATTTATTGCTTGATAATGCCATTTATTAATTATCATTGAACTCTAATTTCTAATATATATATATTTTATCCTCCTGAGACTAATTGGTCTACTTCTAATTATCAAAATTACACATGATCATTAGCCTTACCAATATAACTTTTAAAATTAATTAATTTTCAACTTGAAAATTGTAAAATTTGATTCTCATTAAGTTGCCACAATTAAATTTAATCCATTTGAAAGTCATGATTCAAAATTAACAACCTTTTTATAATTACAAAGTTCTAAGTTTGGTTTGAAATTAATATAAGGAAATTATTCTCTAATTATTCATAAGAATTGGTTTTTTATTATGTACTAAGAATCGAATTGATTATATATATATGTTTAAATATTTAAATTCGCTTAGAAGGTAGATACTGATATTAATTTAGTTTAGAGCCTTTTTATAGTAATTTAATTGAAAGTTATTTATGAAAATGAATTTAAATTTGACAGTTTTGATAAGAATCAATATCATAACAGAAAAATTACTATTATTGATGGTGGCATATAATTATTTTCACAATACAAACATTTAATATAACTCTTGTGTTTAGATACAAGGTTTACTAATAAGTATGAGCGATTGATTATTTATAATCATTTGGGCAATGTGAACATCTCCTAAACATGAAATTGTTTAGGACTTATTAACATAAAATGTGAGACAAATTGAAACATAATAATTCTAGATGTAATATAAGTTAATGTAAAAGTGACCGTTGTTTTGTTGTTGGTGAATTTGGATACACATTTATTTGTTCTATAATATTTGGTTGAAAAAATTTGCATATACATCCTATTATTCTAGGTCTATAAACTGTGTGGGATGTGCTGCATGAGCATGCATTGTTGGCTTATATTAGTTTAAGTTAATCCAATTAGATTAGAAATATGTCCTTTAAGTACCCAATATGTTTTATAAGAAAATGTTGTCTTAAATACAGAATATAGGAACACTATCCTTTTATAAGGGGAATGTAAATTTTAAAAAGAACCTCAGTTAAAGTAAATATAGGATAACTTTAGGATTCGATGATGTTGATGCAGGTGAATTTACTAAGAAGAAATAATTAGCTAGATTTACCAAAAGAAATTTATTTGTATTTAAGCTTGAATCTATATCGATTTTGAAAATCAATTGCTTGATTGTATTTATTGAAACTAAAATTAAAGTATGAGAAATATTAATTGATAACGATATTAAAAACGTAGAAAGTAAAAATAATTAAGTGGGGCGTTAGACAAAAAACAGAGAATAAAGGAAAGATTGATACACCTGGGTGTTGAAATAAATAAATGAATATGTGAATTCAACCAACCACAGAATTGAATCCAAAGTATCAGTTTCTAAAATAATATCAGAATAAATTGGAAAATTAACACATCCACATAACTATTGATAAAATAACTTCAATTATTTAATATTTATTAGGTTTCATAATGATTATTTAAAATCATCGCACAATAATATGATTAATGTAACTAGTTCTTTTTTCTTTAGGTATGACTTAAAGGAGAATTAAATAAATTATGTATGGTAATTATGTACGGAAATACAAGCAAGCCCTAAAAATTAGATATTATAATAGAATATAGAAATAATAACGATTCATCCTTTTGGTATTAAAATAAAAATTTATAATTTCTTTCCTAACCTATTTTAACTATTTATATATAAATTAATAAATTTAAATCCAGAGTTATTTTGGTGATAGAGTCTTAAGTATTAGTTTTAATTATTATAGTCTCTTATTAGATAAAGGAAGATATTTCTAGGTTAATGTTGATCTACTTGATATTTATTATTAAAACTTTTATGGGCCATAGATAAGGATTATTAAATTTGAAATTAGAATGTTTGGACTCTATCTATTAGGGATAGATTTCGAAACTTGATGTTAAATTAACTCAGAATGGAATTTAATATTTTTTTTAATTCAGAAATTAATTGAACTATATATCCTCATCTAAATCAAAGTCACATATTTATTTCATATCATCTTGACACTTTTCTTTAATAATGTAGCCTAATCTCTTTTCAAACTATCCATGAAATATGTTTCATTTCAAAAGAAGAAATCCAACAAATATCAAAATTTATTGTCACTTTTGGCTAAATAATATTGATACTAAATCTCCTTAATAATTTAAATATTTATTACATCTGTGTTGTGCAATTTAATATTATTTATCTTTAATATTAAATGAAAAATAATTTAAAAAAAATTGAATTTTCAATCCTTATTATAATTCAAGATACAAATTCCATTCCAGAGTTTAGCTTCATGAAAATGATATTATTTTTTAAGAATGGTTGCTTCAAATTCTATTTTGAATAATTTTTATTTTTTATTACAATTGGTATTTTTAAGAAGTTGAATAAGAAATCTTAGAATTCAAACGTCTTTGCAATTTGGATAGAATACTACTAGTTAAGTCTAAGAAATAAAAAATAACCAAAGATCAAAAAGGACAATGTGTTATGGTTTATAACTATTAAAAATCAAATATGCTTGTAATTTTATCACAAGAAGAAATAATTGAATCGATATTGATTATTTAGTTTGTTACTAATTATGATTAAAATATATTTAATATGCTCATGATAATTTATAGAAACCTTCAAATTTAATGATGTGCAAAAATTGATTGTAAGTATTTCCTGCAACATTTAGTATCCTAAATCCCGAGACTATTTGACTAGGAAAGGTTAGTGTCAATATACTCTTTGCTAAATTGTTAAAAATCTAAGTTTCTTGGCCATCTAATATGATGAAGATTTTAATATTATAATATCGATTATCACCATCCCACAACCATATTTTCAAGGTATTTATTTCTTACTTTTAAAATAACCCCAGGTTTATTGAATATCCTATTTAACTATATGTATATGCAGATAAAGTATAAATAGTATCTCTTAAGCAACTTCCATTATCACCTCCTAAGAAACCATTTAGTAGCTTTGATGTAATTAATGCCCCTTTACTTTGACTGAATGCATTTTTATAATGACCCCTGATGATTGATTTTACTTTTGCTTATTATCTTAAACAAAGCTAATTGGCAATGAGCGACATATTAATTAGAAGAATAAACACAAATAACTGATGGATACGCTTTGCCATATTCAACAATATTAATAATTATGAATAAAAATTGATTATACAATTCACTTTATATGATGAAATCATATTTTTGTAAAAGTATAAATTTCCCTGAAACTCTCAAAAACTAAGCAAATACTTCTGGTTATAATCGATCTAACGTTACTATCAATTTATATATTCTTTGATTAAATTTTTGTTAGCTTAGAATGTTATCATTCATGTATATTCCAACATTTACAATGGTTGAACTTGTATTTCAAAATTCCCTAATGTTTTTTTATTTATCCAGTTTTTTGTATCACTAGCTTTCCTTTCGATTTATGCAGTGTCGAATCAAGATATCTTTTGTGTCTATCTCTTTTTATAACTTTTTTGACAAATTTAAACATTTAATTCATCCATTTATTAATTAAGACCGCTGAAATCTATTTCATACAAAGAGAAGGATAGTTGTGAAAATGTTGTAGAGAACTATAGTGTGATTGAAGATGGGCTTTAGCAAACTAAATTTAATTAAATTTCACAAATTTTTTTATAGTCTAAAATGCTATCATAAACTGGAGAATTTGTAATTGAATACATTTAAACGATATTATCTTATAATTATCCAAAAATCAAAGGACATTACTAAACTACCACTTTTGAAAACTACTTATAATAAAGAAATTATTCGACTCTTAAACAGATGCTTTGATTAAACTAAATGTATTTTATCAAGAATTTATTGAATAAAATTTGGAAGAATTTTGCCCTTCTGAGCATGGTGATACTAATGTGACAATTATCTGTGATAATCCCAAAAATTGATTGCTCAATGTAGAATTCGATTAAGGAATCCCAAAGGAAAATAGAGTAAATTATTTTGTTTCTTAATCTCACTGCTAAGTTGACTATCTGTCAATCCATTTCTTTCTCTCAACATATTTTGCAACTTTAGGAATAAAAGATTTCTAAGACCAAATAAAGTTCTTGATACATGAAAATTCAATTAGAGTGAAAAAGAAACATATTGTTTAAATAAAATTACCATGTTTTTATGAGCATTTATTTAAAAGAGAAACAAAAATATATTTCAACTATAATTTAGAATAATACATTTAGCTGACTTCAAAATTTTATAATTAATCAATGAAAAACCCGATGTTAATTAGGATGTTTTCATAAAACAAAAAATGTTTAGAGAAGGTGGATTATATAAAGAAGAAGGTTTTGAGGTTAACATAGGGAGACGGGTTGAGTTAGGGAAATTATTTAATGAAAGAATGGTAAAAATAGTTGGTAGATGAGATTTAAATTATTAATTAAAAAATTTATTAGAGGTGGCGAACACTACAAGGATGGAAATTACGGGACTAAGAATGGAATATGGACTGAGTGGAGAGATGTGTTTTCTGATTGGATAACTTATATGTAAGAGTAAGTATCAAAATAATAACTTGGGAGGAGGTAGATTTAGAAGAAGACTTCAAAAAAATTGAAATTATATGGTGATCCATCAGTAATCATTTTTAATATATGATCACTTGGAGTGCTAAAAAAATTTATGATTTTTGCATAATTAAGGTTAAGTTTCTATTTTAGCAATCAAAAAGATCAAATATCTATATATGTTAAATAAAGTTGGATTATGAAATTATCTTACTTGGTAACGAATTTGAAGTTAAATAATCTAAGCATGGATAATTCATATTTTAATAAAGGACAAATAGTAAAAAAATACTTCAAACAAAGATATGAAAGAAAATCATAAAAATATAAAAGCAATTAACTTTAAATACAGTATGAATCGCAGCCACTTTAGCATTTGATTCAATTTCAACAAAGGAAGCAAACAGATACGTTGAGGCTTAAAATTAGAAAGGCTATTAAAGATTAGACATGAAACGTTATGGATTATATTAAGCAGCCCTAATTTCTGATATCTAACACTTGAGGAGATATATTAGAATGAAAAATCAGTAATACGAGCATAAAGAAACTTTATTAATTATTTGTTGCAGATCTGGATACTATGATTGCGTAGAATTTTTACTCGAACTTGGTTGCGACCTTGAATAATGAAAAAACACGAATAGCTCACCATTACAAGTGCCAGCTAGTATGGTCATGAAAAAGTGATTCGGCTATTAATAAGTCATGGTCCTTCATATGAGAATAGAACGGAATCCATAAATAAAGAGATCACTAGCAGTTCTAATCATAAAATAATAAATTTTTTGAAGAATTAAAATAAAAAGATCAAGAGACGACAACATGATAAGGATTTACAGAAAAGTGAGAAGTGTTGATGTTGCAAAATTATTTAAGAACAATGAATAATATTCTATTGCTATCATGGGACTAAATTTCAAAATTTAACACCTATTCTAGATGTTGGATTGTAACCATCTGGAACATAAACAAAATATGAAAAATAAAACACTGATGGTCATATTTAAGAAAATGGCACTGTGAATGAAGTTGAAAATTGGGGAAGAGCTATCTTCACAAGTCCTAATCCATTTTATGCAGGCTGATATTGTACACTCAAAGAGGATTTTAAGTTAAAATCAAATTTACTGTTGTCTTGTAAAAGCAGTAATAAAAATAGAGAATATAGAGAGTACAAACCGGCTGAAAATTGGCCTTTTAAAATCTCTTCTGAACCAAAACGTGTGGAGTATAGAATGGATTGCAATAAAGAGGAACTTTTAATTTAAAGAACAAAGGATGCATCTAAGGTAATTGTGTTCTCAGCCTTATTTTAAAAGAGTAATATTTATAGTATTAAAAAAATTATAATGAATGCAAGAATTTCCTTGATAATTGCACTGCATTTTAATAATGATATATGAGAAATTATTATTTTAATTAAATTATCAATATAATCATTTGAGGATAGTAGCTTATAACATTAAGGAATTTAACCTAACAATAATAATAATCTAACCATTATTAGAATAAAAAGAAAATTGTTATTTTTTTGTTACAAATATATTTATTTACATAAACTGGTCATAATTCATTTATTTTAACATAAAATAATGGTAATTTGAAATCCTAAATAGTTTAATGCTACTTTCATCTATTTTTCAAATTACAAATTCTCAATTTGATTTCAATTACCATTAAATATTTTATTTCCCAAAAATATTTCAATCAAAATCATTATCCATTCATAATTTATTAATATTACTACTTCTCTGAAATGGTGTTGGTAATATCAAAATATCTCAAAGTATTCAAGTAATAGCATATAGCGTCTAGATTTTAGTATTCCTTCAAATTAGAAATAATCTCTTTATATTAATCTTTAATTCGTAATTCATTGAAGATAAATGAACTCTTTAAATATTAAAAATTAATAGTTTTAGCGTAAAGATATTAATCATGGTATAATATATTCTGAGCGTTTATAGGATGTTCCCCTCATAAACAGGATGCCATAAATTAAGACAAATTTATTTTGTTTTAGATCATAATTAGATTTATAATTATGTGCAGGTTAGAACAGAAAAATAGTTGAAAATTTTACAATCTTAATGATAAATTAATTAATTGATTGAATTTGATCATAAATACCATACCATCATGTTAGAAAAATGATTCGTATTAATCTTCATTTCGAATTGAATACTTAACTTATAAAGACAAAAGAACTGAAAAATCCTAGGAAAACATCAAGTTGAATTATTGATAATAGAATTTACAAAACGGTAAATAAGTAGTTTTTGCAAAGATTTCAAAGGTTTGGATTAATTGATTAAGACAAGAGAATCATCTACAAAGTTTAATTAACGACACAGCTGCACAACTGAATATCATGGCAAATAAGGGTTTTTATATCAAAAGGCTATGATGAAAATAATCAGATTGGATATGGAAGAGCATTGACAACATATTGCAATTAGTTATAGAAGGTATCCATTTGAAGATAAACAAAGTAGGACGAGTAGACAATATCTTGGGATTTCTAAATTAAATTAAATTTGAGGAGCAAGAATTATGATAAAATGGCGAAAGAGTAGTCAATGAGGGAATAAAGTAAATTCAGAGTATTTCTGGATATTGTGCATCTTGATAATGGTTCTCAGTATAAATGAAGCTAGTCCTGAGAATTTAAAAAAAGAAAAATATAATCTCCATCAATAAGGATTGTCAGTTTGAAAGTTATTGATCATCAGCTCATTTTCAATCACTTCAAGTAGTGGGATGCTGTGACTTCTGATCTAAAAGATAAGTGCAGATTATATGGATTAGAGTTAAATAGGAAGTTATGAGCACACCTTTATTAATCTATTATTTTTGACCTTAGAGTATATTTAATGGAATTCTATTTTCAAATATCTATATCACTTACACTATCTTTCAGACTTTTGACCTAAAGTTTGCAGATGATTTGATCAATTTCATTTCCACAATTGATTAGCATATCTACGAATTTTTGAGTTCCTCTCCTTGTGCAGAACAATCAAGGCGAGAGTTCTAGGTTTTAATTTCAAACTGTCTTCTTTGCAAAATAAGCAATAACTAACAAAATTTTATCCTGAATTACTGGCAATTTGAGTCAAGCATAAAATTGAACGCGTTAATTCAGATAAGTAAACAATTGAGCAATTTATTTAGGGAGGGATTTCAGATGTTTAGGGTAATTACCAACTGTTTTTAAAACTCTATTTTGAATTTTGACTTTTTTTGGATGATTTCTTCTAAATTAGCAATTTATAATAAAAATACTGGATACTTATAGAATAATATGTTTCTTTTAGATCATAAAATAATAAATATCTGACAAATGCTCCTCAAATAATCAAAACCCAACTCAATATACAACACCAAACTTAGAAAGCAAATAAATGTTCTTAGAAATCAATCTAGGCTACATTCTAAGTCATTTTAACTTAGCAGCAAGGCAATAAAAATCTAGGGTCTGATCATATTAGTGGATTGTTGTTAAACATGATCAAGGCAAACAACAATTACAATTTGTAATAGTGGAGTTTTAAATATTAGATATTTGTAATTAACTTATTTTTCCCACTTCTACCTGCTTATCTGAAACCTTTGAAAAGATAAATAATTAGGTTGTTATTAAACAGAACTACATTTCCAAAACTTGCTAGTACACTCTAGAGCTAATTAAATTAATCTTCTAATAATTTAGGTTAACTTCAAATGCCTATCTTAAATAGCACAAATATGATTGCTTTAAATTCAGTAAAGTATCAGCTTAATATCTCAACCAAAAGCAACCATAATATCAACTCTTGTTGAAAGGAATGAACTTCTAAACTAGGGGGAGATAAAAACTCAATCTTTTATAATACATTTAATGTGTAGGTGCTTTTATATTTCATTGAGAGCTAAATGACATAGAAAATATATCTTTGGAGAATTTTCGGTTGGCTCATCAGCATAGTAAGAGAGAGCAAGAAAATCCATCCTATTATCTTTTTGAAGAGGGCTTTGAAACAAGCTGTTCTCAAAATTGATTAATTAAGTTTTCAGCAACCTTTAGGAAATCTGTAAGGTAACATAATCCTCATGGCGTGCTTAAAAAAAGTTGAGGATGATAGAGGTGTAACGTTGATGTGATTTTTTCAAGTTCTACCTTTTCCTTGAGATTTGGGATACAGCTTTCCTCTAAATTGTTTATTCTGCTGTTATGGTGTAGGAAAGGTTTTTGTTCTTAGCAAAATCGAGACTTTACACAAGGAGCTAAGGCATGATAGGGCAATATTCAATTTAGCTTCATGAAATTCGCAATCCATCTTCTGTTATTTTCTTTCTCGAATCTTTGAACATTCTCATGATTTCTTTGATGTTCCAGTAACACCAATTAGATTTAAATCATATTAGGGTGATTTAAAGAGAAACGTAGCCACTATTTCAAGTATTAGTACTTTAATTCCTTTGAAAAAAAATTCAAAAATCTTCACATATTTATTTAAATTTTCGATTAAATTAAGTCAATAATTTTTAAATTTGATGATATCCAAGTTAATTCTTTTTATATATATTTAATCAGAAAGAGCAAGATTTTATAAATCCTTTTTAGGATTGACTTTGATTACAGCTTGAATATACTGCAATAATATTATAGTTAATTCCTGTCACACTGATTATTTCTTTCATATTAGCGTTAATTTTAATTTCCAAATCACACAATCCCCTTACTATAAAATAGTCAATCTCAAATATTGGTTGACCTGAAAAATAGAGAATAGTCACATCTCAAATAACTATTGCTTCCTCTCTTAAAATCAAACAATACTTTCAACATATCTCAATAATGGGCTGATATTTTTGTATTATTAGCTCCTTTAAGTCAATACTATTGGTGTTTAACAAGATTAAACTGAAAATTTTAGCAATATCAATCTATTACAACTTATTGATATCACTTTTTCAATAAAAGCTAGATGTTCTTCTTCTTTTGAAAAAGTATCCAATAAGATTCTTTTCTTAAATCTCAAATCTCTCCAATTCCTGAAATTAGCATTTAAATAATCTTAAACTCCTTATTAATATGTAATCTGTAGTTATATTATTTACTAAACTCAAAACCTTATAAATAGAATAAATTAACCAGTCTGTGTCAATTCTTTCTTCACCTATTGGGGAATGGTCGAGGACATTTGAATTATTCCAAATTTTAAAAGAATTCCAGGAAACTTTCCACAATCTAACTCAACAATTTCTCAAATAATTTTTTGAGATTGATGATTCAAGTGTTGGTTTTACAGAATATTTTTACCTTAATCTAATCGTACTATCGTGTTTGTAACATCTCTTACCCTTCTTAACATCCGGATAGAATTGATCTAGTCACCATTTTTTATATTATGTATCTAATCAAGCAAACCTATAAATAATTTGGTTCGCATGACATGCTGTAGAATCATATCTTCATCTGCAATTCAAATTCATACGGCTATATTGATCTTTAGATGGAACACCTTGGTTGTATAATTCACAAAATGTAATTTATTTTCTTTGTGCACGCTTCTATAGGATGATATAAGGAAATTCTAAATTAACAATTAACTATTATGAGAATAGAGCACACAATAATATTATTTTATTGAAATCGATTTATTTAAAGAAATATTTTAATGACAATGATTTCTTGTTATTAGTAGTAATGATAGGGATACCTAAATTTAAGAATGGTTATATCTTTATGGTTATGACATTAAAATAACTTGATAATGCGAAAGGTAACTAAATAACTAAATTTGATTTTCTAGATTATTTAACTCGAATTTCATCATTACTAATTCAATTGATATAAGACCATCTTAATTAAATAAGTTCTTCATTTTACTATAAGTTATTCTATCTAATTCATTGAAGAAACTATATATTGATTCACTTTATCCAATACTATTAAGACTGAGTATCCACTATGTTGAATTAGTTATTAATTCATCAAATTATAATATCATTTTTGACTTTAATTTATGTAGTTCATTCACAAATTATTCTACTAAATCTACATCAACTTTAATTAACCTTTATAAATTTTCTACTTTATATTTTTAGTTTTCTTAAATCATTTTAAGTACTTTTTTAAATCCAATCATTTTGGTCTCCTCTTCTAAATTTTCCATGCAAATAGTGCATAATAAACGTTCCTCTCTCTTTAATTATTTATCTAATAAAACCATCAGGATAGGTTAATTATGATTTTTGCTGCATTTGAATTATTCCTCTAATTCTATCATCTTTGATTAAAACATAATTAATAATTTAATTAATTTAATTTCATTTGATATAAATAAAAATTAATCTAAAGCATATTCAATTGAATTGACTTCTTTTATTATATTTTTTATTTCTAATTTTGATCCATTTCTACCATTTATTCTTGTTTTAAACAATAAATTTAAAGAACTTCAAATTAAGAAATTAGAAACCTTTTGGACAGTTTAGAAGTTAGATTTGGAAAATAAACAAACTTCATAAAATTTGTTAATTGAGAATATCTATAATGAGATCAATTGGCTTTTAAAAATAGGAATTAAGGATTTTAGATCAAATTTTAGTATAATATTTCTTAGAATTCAAAAAGTTTTAGAATTACCTAGAAAAAGAAATTTTAATTCTTATATTCCATTATTAATTGTATCAATTCAAAATAATAATACTTTCACATTCATTGATTAGAATCTTGGACAATTCAAATATTATAACCCAATTATTATAGTAGTTAAGTATTTGGATTTAGATTAGAGTATATTCCTGTATAATAGCTTTAGTTGTGTTAATAGATTATTTTAGAAAATATGTATTTTTCAAGGATTTTAATTAATTATCAAGATTTGCTTTTTAACTTTTTTGTAATAGACATACAAATAATTGATATAATTTGTAAGAAAATGAATTCTAAGACACTAAATAACACAAATTTGTTAAAGGAAAAAACAGAGATGGAGGTTTATAAGTGGGATAAACTTTAATAAAAACGCATAAAGATTAAAATAGAAATCATAGTTAACTCTGAAAACCTAATCTTATACTCATATAAAGGTTCTATTTTGAAAAAGTATCAAACCAACCCTGATATTTTTTATAATATTGAGCAGATCACAAACTTAGATTGGTAAGGAGAATGTGGAGAGAAGAATTTGAAATCTGGCAAGTGGAGAGCAATTTGGAAAGGAAAATAACTGGAAGAACATAGTGGATACTATGAAAATGGAATGAAGAAAGGAATCTGGAACGAATTATTTAAAAATTATTTTTGGTTATTCATCAATTTTAATTTAGTCACTCTTAAGTATATGAATAGGGGGAGTATCTAGATAATAAAAAGGTAGGAAAATGGAAATTTTTATATCTGAATGATGAGATGTATAATATTGATTTCGATGTAGTGGCGGTGGATCATATGATGAAGGAGGTAATGGAATAAAGGTTGGCAAATGGATTGATTTGGATGAGGAATTTTACAAAGATAAATAATTAGTCTATCATGGAGAATATAAAAATGGTAACAAAGTTGGATTATGGAGTATTTGGTTCAATAATGGAAATATTTATAAATAAATGTAAAGCATATGATATAAAGTGTTTAATTATGTTAAATATGCTAGTGGTGGAGGATCATATGATGGAGGAGGTAATGGAATAAAGGTTGGAAAATGGATGGATTTGGATGAGGAGTTTTATAATGGTAAATAAGTAATTTGTGGAGGAGAATATAAAATTGGTAAAAAAGTAGGTATATGGAGTATTTGGATCAACAATGGAAATGGTTATAAATAAATGTAAACAATATAAAATAAACTCTTTAATTATGTAAATTTTCTAGTGGTGGAGGATCATATGATGAATTGGATGGTAAGAAAATTGGGAAGTGGATAGAAATTAATGAAAATTGCACTGATGTGATTAATAGCGGCAAATATCAACAAGCTATATAAATTGGAAAATGGGATTTTTGCGTCAATTAGAGTGGAAAATATTAATAGATGTTAAACTATTATAAAAGTGTTTTAGTGGTGGTGGATCATATGATGAAGGAGGTAAAGGAATTAAGATTGGGAAGTGGATTGAAATAGATGAAAAATCATTTAGTGTTTCTAAATAACGAACTCACATTGGTGAATATATAAATGGTAAGAAATATGGTGTTTGGAAAACTTTCTACGATTAAATATATTTGGAGTATGATTTTTATTTTGATATTAGAGCTTGCTATTTATATGATCAAATGGGAAGAATTAACAATAAAAACATAATGTATAATAGACATTTATTTCAGTAAGAAAGGAATTACCTTAATTGGAGAAACCAAACTTGGTAAGAAGGTTGGCAAATGGGAAATTTTGAGTGTAAAAAATCAATATTTGTACTTTTTCTTATTAAAAAATCAAGTGGTGGTGGTTTATATAGTAATGGCATTAAGATGGGGTTGTGGATTAAAACAGATTATCGAAGCTAAATAACTTAAATTGGTGAATATAAAAATGGTAAAAAGGTGGGGAGATGGGATATGTGGGAAAACTATTTTAATGATAATTAACCAAATATAAATATGTAATATATATAATATTAGTGGTATATATGTTTAGCGGAGGAGGATCTTACGATTAAGAAGGTCTAGGCATTAAAATAGGGAAGTGGACTTATTAGGTAACGTTATGGAGATATGACAAACGAACTTATATTGGTGAATATCAAAATGGTAATAAAGTTGGTGTGTGGAAAGAGTTTTCAGAAAGCAATAGGTTTATGTATTCTAAAGCGTCAACATTAAGGTCTTGTGTTTTATATGATTTAAATGGTATATAGATATATGAAAGTTAATTGTAATAAAAATTTGATAATTTAGGAATAATGGGGTTTTAGAGATAGGATAAGTTCAAAATGGCAAAAAATTTGGTAGATGGGAAATTTTGGGGAAAAACAATGAATAAATGTAAAATAATAGAACAAATTAAATTAAGCGGTGGTGGATCATACCATGAAGGAGGTGATGGTACTAAGACTGGAAAGTGGGTAGAAGTAAGCGAGATGATTATAGATTAAAAAAAATGGCTTATTAGTGGATACACAGGAGAAAATTACATAATTTATATTGGTTAATATAAAAATGGGAAAAAAGTAGGTAGATGGGAGAGTTGGTTAAAAGAAGATGAGCATGTCTTAATGTAAAAAATTAATAAAGAGAGATATTGTAAAAAATGGTAGTGGTGGTGGACATTATGACCTAGAAGGTAATGGCAATAAGATTGGGAAGTGGATTGACTTAGATGATTAATTTTTAAAAGGAAAATATGTAACTTATAGAGGTTTGTATAAGAATGGGGAAAAGGTTGGTAGGTGGGATATTTTGATTTCAGATATACACAAAGATACAGATGTTTAATTGTAAAAATTTTAATTTAAAGAAATCTTTTGAAAATGTTAGTGGTGGTGGCCATTATGATGATGGAGGTAATGGAAATAAGATTGGAAGGTGGATTGACTTGGATGATTAATTTTTAAAAGGACAAAATTTATCTCATAGAGGTTTGTATAAAAATGGGAAAAAAGTTGGTAGATGGGATATATGGTTTTCAGATTTACAAAAAGGAACAGATGTTTAAATGTAACAATTTTAATAAAAAGAAATCTTATGAAAAACGTGTTAGTGGTGGTGGATCATACGATGAAGAAGGTCGTGAATTTAAAATTGGAATGTGGAGATAAATAGACAGGTTTTATTCGGAAAGTTTCTATACAACTGAGAATTGTGAATATGATCACGGTAAATAGTTGACAAGTAGGATAAGTTTTAATCAAAACAGTAGTATTAATACATACAAGAATAATAAGATGAACTATATTTGAGAATTGAATAATTATATTTAATTATTTATAGAATCTAAAAGTCAAGCTTATTATAAAATCTGTGAATAGCTTAAAGAATATTGGGATTCAAACGGGTTTTTCAATCAAGTAAAATTAAGTGTTTATTAAAATAATGAATAAAATATATTTGGATTATAAAAGATTTGTTATATAAAAAAAAAGATCAAAAATATATGTGCATTATTGAAACCATTTTATTCTTAAAAGAGAGTTAAAATCAATCATATGTTATTCAATTTATAAATTTAGATTAATCTTTAAAAAATTGGACTCTATAGTAAAATCTCCCTTTTTCAATTTTTAATCATTCTCATTAATTATTAAAGGAAGTAGATTTTTAATTATCTAATTAAGGTTCTCTTATTCATTTCCTAAATTTAAATTTATGTTTCGTAATTCGATTCTAAACATCAAATATAATTAGCTAATGTATTTATAATTACTATAGTGATATTCAGATTTAATCTAGATAAATTATTAAATTTTTGGGAATACATCTACATAAATTTATAGCTTAAATATAAATAATAATATAATAATTAAAAGAATTAAATTAATTTAACAATAGTAATTTTGATCTGAAGTAAGCATTAGTACATTAAGAAACCTTTTCAGACTGAATAAATGATGAATTAAAAAGTTAAATATTAATTTATATTTTATGATATGAAAAATTAGATTCAAGTTAGAGCATCAAACTTTTGATCAGTCATTATTATTTATAAACATTATTTAATAGTAAACTATTTTCTTCAAAATCTATATTAGTCAAACAATATTATCATATATAACAATTATAATGAGTGCTCTATATTCAACTCTGACTATAAATCAATATTTTATTCTGAATATTCTATTTAACAATAGAAGCCAGATGTTTAATAAATATTGCTACCAGAATTTCTGATTTAGAAATGAGAATCCAATTTTCAAACTAATTTTATGAATATCTAATGCAAGAAAATATTTGAATTAATAAATGAAGTTATAATATTATCCATCTAAACTTTTGATCTGACTAATACCTGAATGGTTTTATTAGAGTCTTTTAAATTATAGATAAGTCATCATTATCAAATAAGCTAGAATAGACAAGAGTGATGATAATTACACTCGACTAATGGATGAAGAATTTTTACATAATTTACCAGAAAAAACTTTTGTTTTCATTTATTATACTACAACATTTTTCTGTTTGAAAAGAATTCATACAGACTTAATTTTGTATTAAATACTATATATCATAAATTACTTTACTTATCATTAATATAAATGAATAGTTCAACATCTAAATTTAATTACAGAATTAGATAACTAAAGAATTTGTTTAGAATTAGTAAAACAAAAAATCAAAGTAAAAAAGTAATTCTTCAAATGGAACATAGATACAATCATTAACCCAATACTTAGTAATACTGTATTTTAGAAGAGCCCATATATTTTGCAAAGGAAAATGTCAAATAAAAGTTAAGCTAGAGATCATAAATAATAGAAATAGAGTTCCCCCAAGAAACAACCCTTATTCTTAAAGAACACAAAAATTTTTATTCTGGACTTAAGGTTGCTTGTTAATGAAAAAAATAAATTGAAAATTATTCATTGATATAAAAGAAAATTCCTTTTTAAACCCCTTAATTTCATCTTCATTTAGAAATTGCATCGATTCATAAACTGAATTTTCAAATGATGACGAATTAAGATTACTTTTGGAAGTATATATTAGATGGCTAACACATTTAATCAGGTGATACTCTGATTAAGCAAAAGACTTAACTTTAACTTAAGAGTATTAAAAAAATAGTGTAAATAATGTAAAACAATTCATATAAAGCAAAACTCATGGCATTATCATCCCTCTTAAAACTCGAACCTCTAAGCAATATATATCTAAGATCCGCTTTTTTTCTGCCCCTGATAAATCAGAAATTAATCCATCAATGCTTCACCAAGTTTTAGAATAATTGCTTAGAACGAATATCTAATTTATGCATATTTTTAACTTCTACTTTGATCATATGAAGCTATTTCTTAAATATAAGAATAATTATATAAATGATAATATTAATTTATTTCCTACATATAACTAATTAGTTCGTAATTGTTTGCGGTAACAGTAATTTTTTACCCTCTCCTATAATTATATTCAATTATTCAATTACAACATTAAACCTTTAATAGGAAATAAGCGTATATAGCCTATAAGAATATCGAAAAGCAATTTTTAAACTCTTCCTAGCTATTATTTATTGCACTATCATAACTAGTCTTCAAAAATTCAGATGGAATTAGAACTGTAATTTATAAATTTTTAAATCCAATATTTGTAGTGAAATACTAAAATTGCCAATGTAAATCACCCTTTTTTATGTTCTTATTAATACCAGAAATGAAATGGTAATTAATTATATATAATGTCATTTTAAGAGCAAATAAATTTTAGGAAATAAAGATCGTTTTTTGAAATGGCTTCAAAATTCATTATTCTAATGAAACCTAATTAAAGAATATTTATCTTAGGAAAATTTAATGACGAAAATAAATAATTTGATATTTTTTAAGACGTAAAATTAAAACTAATCATATTTTAATTCTTCCAAAATATTAAATTTAATTCAGAATCTACAAATTCTTAGAATATCTCAAATGAGATTCACTAATAAAGGATTTTTATAGAAAAAAGTAAAAATTTAATAACAAAAGATAAATGAAAATATTAAGAATATGAATCTGATATAGAAGAAAATAAAATAGCAATGTAATTTGTATTGCGATAATCTAAAACATTTAACAATCGTTAGATTTAATTGTTGCATAAATGTGTCTAAATGATAAGAATAAGAATGAGAAAAATAAAATAATAAAATGAAATTACTTGAACTGATTTCAGATGAAAAATAATACCATTAAATTTGATTGAATAAAATCAGGCAGCAAATTAAGATGCGGATAGCTATTAGGACGAAGTGAAGAAGAGGATAATGATTAGTTGATAAAGATTGAGAAATATTTCAAACAGGTAAAAGAATGAAAATAATATTAATTCACACTTGCCCTATCAATAGATAGAAAGAATTTGGAGTATCATACTCAAAAATGTAAAAAAATAAATTTTCTGCCTTAGGATAGCATGAATAAGACATGTAAGTTTTCGTTATTAGTATGGGACCTCATTTACCTTAATTTTGAAAGTAATATTTAAATATAAAAGATTACAACATTTAGTAATCATTTGAAAATTAAATAAATGACCTTATCTTTCCTTATGTTGTTTGAAGATAGACTGAGAAGTAAAGGAATTAATGTGATGCATCCTATTTCATAATAGTATTACCATATTCACTCATAATGCATTGTAAATTTGATATAAATTAAATAAAATAGTCTTTTTTTTAAGACTTAAATTTAAATCATGAATTCTTAGGAATAATAATTAATAATAATGATTTATTTCAATGGTCTATAAGAATCATTATTAAAATTCTAACTATAGGTAATTTCTTAGAATATTTTGCAATATAATATAGTCAAAACGCTGACTTTTTTATGAAATCATTTATGTACTTTTCTGTTCTCAAATGCTTTTTTTATGAGCTTCCTCCCTTTTAGATCTTTTCTAATTTGAATTGCAGCACAAATAAAATTCGATGATTATTCTAGACATATTTCAACGAATAACATATATAAAAATAGGCTCTCTACTTTTTTGAAGACCACATATATTCAAGAAGCATAATGAGGTACTAAATCTTTGCTCTAACTCCTGTATGTCACACATGATCGCTTCTGATGATCAAACCTGAAGTTTTAAATCTCTGAAAAAATTTTATTATAAAAGAAATTAAAAATTTAATGAATGTTAAATTATCACAACAGTTGATGTTTGGGCCTTGTAATGGAATATACAAAAGCAAGGTTTTTCAATAAATG